TTGTAGTGGTTAATTTTCTTTCATGTATGATTTGTGATTAGCAGATTTTTGTTCATTAGTTTTCCAATTATTTCAAAATCTAACATTTGAATTTTTTTTAATGCCAAAAAAATACATCCTGCAGAAATTAGCAACTTGTAAAGAGAGAGACCTTAGTCTACTCAATGCCATTTTGTTAAAGATTAACAGAAGACCAGTTCAAATCATGATCCCCATTTCTAGGTTGGGGGGAGAGAGAAAACTTATAAGAACCATGGACAATAATCTTTGAGTACAACTTGACATCAGCATCACCCCACCACCATCCTTGCTGGCCTAAAATTTCATCTGCTCCTACCATTCCATTCACCAGGAAAATAATAGGATCAGAGTTCATAATGATAACCTTACATTTTATATTAACTATGACAAAAAAGAAGTTGGGACAGCATATTTCCATACGTACATTAAAGGTCAAAGAGCTGTGCATGGCTTGTGAGTTGTAGTTTGACTACCTCTGACCTCATTGGGATCCATACTAAGTAATTCTCTTTCATAACATTTCTCAGGGCAACTTAGACATGCCCATCTCATCTCAGTAATATGTGACTTCTTTTACTGAGTTACATGGTACTGGTAGCAAAGTCAGTTATGTGCCATGCATGATACACACTTAGGTGATCATGTATCTTTCGATACATGACTGACATAGCATTTTTTTCCCACAGTAGGTTGCTATTTTTTTCTGCGGTAGACCAGTTGCCGTCCAAGGCTATAGAACCCGGTTTGTCCTGCTATTTACCCATAGCTGGTGGGGAGAAGAAGAGGATTCATACCTTTCCTGAAAGTATTAGCATATAAGTGAATGTAATGGATTTGACTGGAATTAGAACTCAGCTCTCCGACTCCTCAATCCGAGCCACTATCCATTACTCCACTGTGCCTCCAGCAGCAAAGAGTAACCCCTAACTTGACCTCATAAAAAGTCAAACTCATTCTGTGTTAGAGACCCCTGGTTTGAAATAAATTCATTATAAACCCCCCACCAACCCAAATAATCTGATTATGTAAATATGGATCAACATCTTGGATCAGAGTGTAGTATCAGGCTTCCCACATAAAACGACCTTACGTCACATACTGCCAGCATTGGGGAGGGGGGCCATTAAATAGTGAATAGCGAGTATAGTATCTATGAACCCTGAAAGTGTTATACACACATACACACAATGCATTTAAATACGTTAATTAATAAGTCTTATTCACTGTAACTTAAAATTTAAGGGCAGATATATCTTTAAATTTCTTTGACATGTATGAAGGCAGAAAGTCAATTTGTCTGATTAAATGCCATATTGCAACCCTTGCTGCCACCTTATCTTCAATGAATCTTCAAAGTTAACATTAAGCATTGTTTATCATTCAAAAGTCTGACCATAAAATGTACTTTTTTTATTATGACTAAAATGTTGTATTCATTCAGATGCTTGAAAACTGCAACAGCAAGCACTCTTAGTTTCAGAAATTATTGAAATAAAAAAAATTTCTTCTTGAATTCTGAGGCATACTTATTTTAGCCAATTGTAACCAGATAAAATTATTTGGACTAACATTTCTCTTCAATTATATTTTTTTCTTTTTCTTTTGTATGTTTCAAAATGTTTCCACAGTTCTTCTCCAGTTGGCCACTGACTTAATTTCAAAAACTAAAATAGTTCTACAAATAATTTATTGATAATGGTTTATATCTGAAATTCAATAAGTCTCAAATACTGAACTGATTGATACATTCAGAAGATATTAAAGGACAAAGCTCTTTCATACACAATGGTTGCAAATTGCCTAAGGAAATGAATTTACCTAAGGAAAGTAAAGCTGCAAGTAGATGATTCTTGCATTATGATATTGGTTAAGCTTTGAAGTTTGCATGTTAGTTGATTGTATAGTTGACTATTTTATACTTTGTCTATGGGTTTTCTGAAAGAATTGGTTTGACTCAACAAATATATACTTAATCTTTGTACAGCAGGTTGTTGTTTTTTTTGTGGAGGGAGGGAGAAAAAACAAATTGTACTAATAGAAATGAAACCTGAAATTCTTTTAGAAATTTACTGTTATTTGTTAATCTTAACCTATCCAAATTTAGGGTCAACTGTTATTTCTCCAACATATCCTCATAAACTGCACGCCTCATCTCCACCATTTACACCCTTAAAACTTCATTCAGAATGGCTCATGCCTGGAGTGGCTCTTGGGCCATGTATTGTATGAAAAGTTAGTTAAAAAAAAAATAAAAAATTTAGAACTGAATTTTTTGGAAGTTCTAAAATATTCAAGATTTTAAGGTACTTAATTTATTTTTTGATTCGGGTGGCTTGTGGCAGTTTTATAACTTCAAGCTTAATATGCCCTACCCACAACCTCCAAATTTGAAAACATGTTGGTATTCTTGACAAATTCTTTTGAACCGATTTCTTCTTGTGTTTACTGTCTTTATGGCAATGTCTTGGCTCTTGCACACCTCCATCAAATGGGTACTAAGAGTCATAGGTTTAGGAATTGATGAACTAAATAAAGTTCCATGTGTAGCCATCCTGGAAGGTTATGAGACCTCTAAGAGTGTATGGAGGGATGGTTAGCAGAAAGGTTCATAAAAATAGCAAATGAGAGACAGGGAGTCTGGAGTGTTCAGTTAATAAATAACGATGGGAAAAGTGTTTGTTTATTGAACTATCAGGCTCTTTCTTCCTTTTTTCAGCCAAACCTCTCTTTCCTCTATAAAATGGTTTGTTGGATTTTGGAGATATGATGTATTACTGTGTAATGAAATTTACATCATCTCTACCCCTTTTCCTGAAGGGGCAAAAAGATTTGATTTAAATTTGACTAACCATCTCATAAATCTCTGCAATAATGTAAATCTGAGCAAATTTAGACAAAGTCTACATTAAATCTGGTGTTTAGATGTAAGCAAACATACTTTATGTCACTTGTTAAGGCTTACAAGAATAGGGTATTTATACATTTTTTTTAAAAATTATTTTGCTCTAAGAAAGGCAATAAAGCCACAAAGATGCAAGGGGTTACTGACTTTAAAAGCATACGCGAAAAACAAAAAAAATATTCAGGAAAGAGTATACTAAAATAACAGGAATTAAGAAGACAGAAGATAACAATTGACATTGCATTTAAATTTTTGAAGTTCAAAGTTGGCTGGAAAACAAGAAACCGAAAGAGTTCAACAAGCATGAAGTGTGAGAAAAGAAACTGTTAGCATAGAATTTATGGTTGCATCTAGCTATTTCAACTGTAAAATGATGAGACCTAGCTGCCATTCTAGTACTATGCTTAAATTTGTAAAGTCTAGGTAGTATAGAGAAAAGCTTATCAGAACAGTTATCATGAAAAGATATGAGGAAGCTATGTTATGGCGGGTGAGAAAGTGATTGGAGCCAAAATGTCAGGTCATCTTTTTATATATATTATAACATTATACATATTTTAAAATATTCTTATAATAAAATATTATTAAGGTGATAAAAATATACTATATCATCATATTCTTTCACCCTTAACACCAGAAGTTCTTGGGGTTACCTACATGCTGAATTATCCACCGTTCTCCTCCATCTGTCGCAGTTGTGTGTCAGAGCCTAGGTTGAGTGGTTTCTTGGTGTTCTCATCATGTGGTGTGTCTTGGGTGTTTTAACCTGGCAGAGCCCATCCCTCTCCAGGATACTACAATATATATTATTATAAATGTTACTGGGATTTTTATTATATATATATATATATATATAAGCAATTTCTAAAGAATTAATGGATTTATTTTTAATCAAACATTTTTATTACTTCAGATGTTATTTTTAGTGGTTACAGTGTTTGAAATAGACACCTCATTTTTTAAACATTGTGCATTGCGCCTAATGGCCCCACTCATAATAGAAAGAGATTATATTTTCTTTATTAAGATTTTTGCTCAGGCATTACCCATAATACACACTGTTCAAATAAAAAATAAGTCATCTATTTCAAACATGAATATCCACTAAAAATAATGTTCAAAGTAATAAAAACATATACATAATGGTTATTTGTATATAAAATAAAAAGATTTTGTAAATGCTCTAAAGGATATATATATATATATATATATATTTATTTATTCAAGGAATCAAAATCTTGTCTTCCTTATCACAAAAGAAAAGCGGTTACAAATGAAAGACAAGTGCATCAGGAGCAAGTAGGAATTAGAAAAACATTCAATCTAAAAAATTTAAAAAAAAAAAAAAATATTGGGATCCTTAATGACTTTCTCAAAATTTAACACAGCAGTGTAAAACAGAACAACTGAATCCTTTCTTTGTGTATTTGATATTGTTTCTGCCACCATTTCATGAAGGAATATTGTTTTGTCCCTCTTTTCTCATGAATTCCTCACCTGACAAATCCTGAAGAATGGATCAGCTGAAACATGTTAAAAACACAAAGTAGAACTTCATTTGTCCAGAAAATTTTTTTTTTTTTTTTTTAATTGAACCATGTATTTTCATCAAAACCTTTCAAAGAGTGAAAACTATTCATTTGTCTATTCATTGACAATTCATACTGGCTTTCATTTGCTTGAGCACCTGTCTCCGGTTGATGAATATCTGTTTCCTTTGATAGAATATGCTCAATTTGTTTTTCTCTCCTTGAGTGTGTGCGTATATGAGGAAAGCTTTTAAGCTTGCCTCGATTCTAGATTGAGTAGAAATGAGGAATTTTGCCTGAAGCCTCACTCTGCTATGATGCATGTCTTCAAACTCACTGATTTTGCCTCTTTTTTTTAATGCACTTTGCTTGTTTTGCTGTCGTGGTTATTTTCTTGCCTGTCTTCATGTTAAATAGTTGTTGTAGCTTTTTAAGATCGTTTCTTGTTTTTAATTGAATTTTTTTTCATAATCCAAGCAGCATTTTCAATTTGGGTTAATGAATTGATTTTTTTTTTTTTTTTTTTTTTTTAATTCTTTGACTTATAGGTGAAAACTCACAAAACACATTTACAAGTCCGTCGCCTCCTTTAAAAGCAGAAGCCAATGGAAATCCACGTAAGTTATCTACTCTCATCTACTAATGCTTACATTTCTGCTGTGTAGATAAGAAAAATACACACACACACATATATCCTATGTATTTAAGCTAAAAATGTTCTTTAAGGCAAATATTATTAAAGACAGCAGACATGTTGTGTCAGTTAATTGTAATGATTGAATTTTCCAAATTATGAATAATCCTTCTCAGACATGGAGAAAATTCTGTCAGAAGTTCATAACAAAATAAAATCCCATTTTTAATCATTTTGTTCCTAAAGAAAACTTCAGGCTAATAATATTCATTGATGAATATTTACATCAAGTGTGGTATGAGGCCAAGAATCTAGGCAGGGGAAAGAGCTAGTCATCAAGTGTCCTCTCTTTAACTGAGCTCATCACAATACTGACCCGACCATTCTATAATGGCCCAATCACCAAAACATCACATCATTACTTACCATTCTTTAATACAATCACTAGAATACCACAAATTCTCCATGAAGTTCTAACCAATCTCCCTATGTACCAATCTTATGTCCCTTTTGTTAAAAGGGAATAGGTTTTGAACTTCTTCAGATTGACAATGTTTTAAGCGATAAAGTCAGTGCTATGTATTTGGATGGAGAAAGAAATGCAATAAACACCAGTTACAATTTTACAATGAAACTACTAAAGTTACAGGGATGTTTAGTTCTAAATTCAAATCTTTGACATTTGTTGAATTGAGATGCATAATCTAGCTGACTTCATTCAGTTTTCTATTGTTTTTGCTTTACTTTTTCTTTTTATTGCAATTGTTTTCAAATATCCTACATTGTATCCACACCAGTTTTGACTCAACATATTGTCTTTCCTGACTAAACTCATCTTTAAAACTGAAACTTTAAATTCATTCATAAAAATTAAGCTTAAAATGCATAGCTCCATTCCATTATCAAACGATGCTAAGAATAACTTTTTAGAAATTAATTTAATTACTTTATAAACACTGCCACAAATTTCTACTTGAAGAAAGCAAGTTTGTATCAATAAACAGATACCCCAGCCCACACCTTGACTTGACCAACTTGATAGCTACAATGCATTAGATACATGAGTTTTCTAAATAAGTTAATTCTTAACACCCCTTAAATAAAAAAGATGGAATTTTCCTTAACCCCAGCATCTAAAAATATTAAAATTTTATGATTGAAGTTTTCAAATAAAAATAAGTGCTAAGAACTCTGAATTATAAATATCATTGTTCTTTCATATTATTTTATATATATATATATATAAAGCAGCCACTAGAATCCGAGGATGCCAGTCTACTAGGGTGGCTAGCTAATGCCCATTGCAGACACCTGCTCATGCACATTTATGTTTGTTCAACATTCACAGACCCCACCTGTGGTTTATACTGCAGCTGTGTTGAGCAGACCTTAGTTACAGTTTCTGGGAGGGAGTACATTATCTAGCATGATCAACAGTCTGAAAAGGCTAGCACACTTAAACCCTCATTCACAACCACCGACAGCTATCCAATTTCACTCACAAGGCTTGGGTCAACCCGTGGTATGGTTTTCAAGCACTTTTCAAAGATGCCACACACTGGAATTACCTCCTCCAGCCTGATAACATCAAGAAGTTATTTTCCTGACAAATTGACTATGTTGAGATTCAAACTCGGCTTTCATGGTTAGAAAGCAAATGTTCTAACCACTCGACTACATGCCCTATTTATTTATTTATTATTATTATTTTTTTTTTAAATATGATTTCATTGTGACACAGAAATTACTATGTTTTGAAATTGGTCCACAAGTGTTACAGTTTAATTTCAATATTAAATCTTAACTTAATGTCACTGGTTCATTCTCAAGTTTATTTGGGATAGTTTATCTGAAGAAATGTTTTACTCATTTGTAGTTTGGAAATGGAGGTGTAATCTGGGATTTGTTTTTCATTATCAAGGAGTCTCTGCTTTGATGAAAGTAGGGATGTTTATTATATGTCAAGTTTTTGGAGTTGTGTAAGGTTGGGTTGGGGGATTTTTGACTGGTTACAATGGCCATTTCTATCAGGGCAATTATTAGTATGTAGTTCTTTTTTAGGGATAAAACACACTACATAGGAGTTCTTTCCTATTTTCTCATTTGATTACCCACTATTAGTCTGATGTATACATTTACTATATCTCTCACACACACACACACATATATATATATATGGCAAAAAAACAAAAATTACCTCAACATGATTTTTTCCTGTAAAATAGAATACATATGCTCTGTTATAATAAATACATTGAGCTCTCTGTTGATCAGTTTTGATAATTAATATTACTAGGATCCACCTGGATATATATATATATATATATATATATATATATGTATATATATATATATATAAAAATATAATGAAAGTGAAATAGTATAAATTGATGGAATCTTGTGTCCTTCAATTTTACATGTTCTTAAATATGTATCTATATAATATATTTTGAATATTCAAAAATAACTCCTGGTCTATTTGACTATCATTTTTGGTACAATGAATTTAAGTTATGCTATGAAACCCTGATACATAAGATTTTTTAAAATTTAAAATATAGAATATCCAAAAGAACAAAACTAAGAAAACCTAAGTAGGTAAATTACATTGAGAGTAAATATTATTTTCTTACTAACTAAAAAAATAAGAATACATGCCTCTGACTGTTCACGTGTTTCATTTATTACACAGATTTTATTGACAAAAATAGTCAAATCTTATAAAAAAGAAATAATTAGATAGGCTTTATCTTTGTGGAAGAAAATGTTTTATTTTTGCCATGGATTATATTTTTTTTTTTTTTTTTAATTCAATTAAAAGTTTTAAAAAATTCTCTAATGAATGTGATAATTTCTTCTTCTTTCCTCCCCCACCTTATCCAAAAATATTTTTCAGGGCGAACCAGACCTACACGAGGTGGTCGTCGGCAAAATAACCCTTCTCCAGGACCAGAATCTGATTTAGAAAGAGTCTTTGTATGGGACTTAGATGAAACCATCATTATTTTTCATTCATTACTCACAAGTACATATGCACAGAGATACGGAAAGGTATGTAGATTAACTTTATCTGATTCAGTTTCTCATAGATCCTGGTGTTACTATCTTTTGTTTCTTCATGAAATGATATATTGACTTTGACACTATATAAATTGACTGGGCCACTCATAAAAAAATAGGGAATAATTTTTATTTTTTAACAATTTTTGTAGATTGGCGTTAAAACCACATTTCTCAGAATAAAAAGAATGACATTTTTCCCACTTTAGAAAGAAAATGGTACTGTTCATAATATAAATGCAAGAGCAACTCAGTCCCTAACTTTTTAAAGAGTTATCTGTACTTGATTTTTATTTACAAATATCAAGTTTGAAACTGTGCTTACATCATTGAATATTTATTGGAAAAAGGACAATGCAGTTATCAATGCTGTAAGCATATAAATTTTAAAGACTGAAAAGCAGATAAGAATGGAAAGGCAAGAATTACAATCGATTAAAATTGTTTATGGAGAGATGAAGCAAAGGATAGATGAAAGAGAGGATACAGAAAATATTTGTACAAAAATATTTTCCTTTTTCAGTATATGAAACTAATCAATGTTTCACATTATGAAATGGACAAAGTCCAACAATATTTATTTCTCGGATATCCAGGCTGGTAAATGTTGTTTAATACTGTTTATTATAAACAGCATTTACTTAAATCTTTGTATCCATGAAAAGAACGTATAAACATAAAAAATGTCTTGCAAAATAATTGTCAGTCTTTGTCTATTTCATAATGTGTGACGTCATTTGTTTACATTTGGATATGCATTGCGTAGATATGAATGTATGAGAGAAAATCATGGAGAATTGTAGTTTAAAAACAGTAAAATCGACCTTGCTAACCAAACGCTCCTCTGTGGCCCAATTGGTAAAGGCACATCAGGCTCTACGATGGTTCCGTATAGGATACAGGTTTGATTCCTGTTGGAGGACACATATTTTCTATGAAAATTTCTTGGACATTCAGGCTGGTAAATGTTGTTTAATACTGTTTATTATAAACAGAGCATTTACATAAATATTTGTATCTATAAAAAGAACGTATAAACATAACAAAAAATTTCTTAAAATATAATCAATGTTTGTATAAAACTTAGATAGAAACATGCATGGGCAACAAAGATTGGAAGGGATAAGGGAGAGAATGAAAAGATACAAGCAAAGTGTGATAGAAGAACAGAAGCAGGGTGGGGCATGGATAATCTGAGAGGTTTTTTTTTTTTTACAGCTAGGAGAAGAAGATAACATTGACTCTATACTTGAACAGCTTAAGATTGTAGTGTTCAGGGGAACATCCTCTTGGGAATTGGTTTCACAGAGCAGTGGTTCACAGGAAGAAGTTGTTCCAGTGGAATTTACTTCTCACAGTTGGAGTACAGAGGGAATGTGGATGGTTTGCTACAATGTGAGTTGCATGGCAGGTCCTGGCAGAACCATGGAAGTAGCGATAGAGCAGCGATAGGCCCTCCACATCCCACCAGTGAGAGAGAAGTTGGAGTGTGGAAAATATTCGTCACCCACAAGGACTTGGAGATGCTTTTGAACTCTATCAAGACTAGAAAGTGAGGGCTGGGCAGCTCCCGCCCAAATGTGTCAACAGTATTCCATTTTCAGCCTGATTTGGCTCTTCTTGAGGAATGCTTAACACTATTTACAGAGAACTAAGACCAATCTCTCTCAAAGCTCAAACAAAAATGATTACAGTTTGCCAGCAACTGCCACTGAGCAGATATGGAAATCATCTCATCCTTACTCCTATGACATCCTTCTGGAGGTGTCTTCTCACAAAAATTGCCTTTCCCAGACACCTTAGCTTGGGACTCAGAGTTGGATATTGGAGATCTTGGGACAGCAATACAGGACCAAACAATCCGGAAAGGGATTTCCAACCAACCATAGGGAGGTCAAAGTATAAAGATGATGAAAGGTAGCGGATAGCTGTAAATACATGTGAATATTACCTGGGTTCAGCTAGTTAAACATAATGAGTTGAATGGATCACCTTGATATTCATCTTCCCTTCTAAATGGCGAAATTATTACATGGTAACTATTTTTTGAAACTAACATCATTTCTTTATAATATACTGAGATGTCAACATTTATTTAAGCATCTGCTGATTACAATTCTTGTTTCTCCAGCTGTTCTCTCCTTCCTGTGTTAATAAATACACACCCAAACGGATGAGCATTTCTTGGAAGTTTTTAAATGCTAATAGTCAAGTTCTTGACCTTGCATTTTTAAAGTGTCTTAATTGACATCTCAGCTTATCCACTTCTGGGCCTTATTTCAAGGTGTGCATCACCACCCTTAAAATACTTAAACTGGTTTTTCTTAGTACAGTCAGTTTTGTTTGTTTCTTTCTTTCTTGAATTCTGCAAGCAACTTTGAGACCCAGTTTAGTGATTTTAAATTACCAGAATCTCCTTCACTTGTATCTGATGTTATTATGCAGAAAACAAAATGTTTAACTGAACTTTTGACTAGGATCAAAGGTGCAGTATCTTTCCTCAGATGGTGAAACTACATTTCATCTCTCCGTTGTATCTGTCTGCAGACGGTGCATGACTGAAAATATTTGAGAGGTACTCAGTCATGGGAAACAGCTGCCTATGGCAGTACCTCCATTAAAGAAGTGGGGATTGGTAAAAATACCAATGCCAGCACAACCATTTCTATCTTTTGTTAATATTTAACAAAACCTCATACACAAGGGATGTATGTGGTATAAGGTCAAGTTTACCATGGGTTCTCTTATATTCCCTTACAACGCGCATAAATGGGTTCAGGGCCTGTCTACCTCCCCAGATGAAACCCTGCCCCTCAGCAAAGCCTCATCCAGGTTCCTTTCTGCCCAAAGGCAGAGTGTTAGCAGCTGCGAAAAGTCACAGCCTCAGTTGAACAATCTATTCGACTGTTCCCTGTCTTTTGTTGTGATCAAAACAGAATAATCTGTGATTTATTAGGTATTGGCAGCAACTAACAAGCAGAATTATAACTGGTTATTTTCTAATACTATTGACACATAAATAAAATTAAAAAAAAAAATATTTGCTATATAACAAGTGAAATGGTCAAAATCTTGTTAGATTATTGACTATTCTTAATATTCTTTTTTAACTAAAGAACTTCTTGTGGAGCCTAGGACCACTACCAAATCATGCTAATTGGTGCTGCTGGGGTTTTAATAGTAAGTAGGTTCCACAGAGTAGAGCTACTAACACCCCTACATCCTGCCAAGTTTTGAATTCAGTTATCTTTCTCCTGTGCTGGTTACCAGTTAAAGGCAGGAAGCCCACTCTCTTCTGCTATTTGTACGCATAAATGGGAGGGGAGAATAGTTGGATTCATAATTTTCTCAAGGGCATTTGTGCAACAATGGACGCATTGGCCTCAGCTGGAATTTGATTTAAGCCTACCTGTCCCCCTTTTCTGTGCCAGTAATTACCATGCTATGCTGACATCCTTCTGCTATATTCTGTGCTAATAGGAATATCACTGGAACAACACAGGGGATAACTAAATAAAGGTTATTGTAAAACCAGTAGTAAGTCGGAGTCATACTCGACAGATCCCAGCAAGTCTCATGTAGTCCGTTGACTTTATAGGTACTTACTACCTATAGTGTAGTCACTCATGGGGGTGACAGGTTATTCCATTACATCACCTTCCTTTAATATTAGATATCTGCAGAAGTTCCCAATACCATATTTTGCCTAATATTAGGGAAATCTTAGAAGTGTCTTTAAAGCTTATTCACTTCCTTACTGCTTGCGCCATCCGTCAAAACTGTCAAATGTCATTTACAAACCTTATCTAAAATCCTGAATCTAGGAAAATGGGTCCAATGTGAACCCATGGAAGGTAACATTGGTCATTGTCAAAGCACTTTTTTTTCTCTTTTTGCTTATCAAAAATCATCTTTGTTCAAAATCGTCCCTACCTGTGAAAAGTATATTTATTTATTGTGAGAATCAAAAGCTAATTAAATAAAGTCTTGATTCAATCACAGAAGATAGTAGTGGTCACTTTTTAGTTGGATTCAAAGAGATTAAAGACATGATCAAGATGTCAACATTCCACACTACATCAAACAAAAAGTTAGGAAGGAAACCACCATCAATACCGGGAAGAGCAATATCTGAACTTAAAAAACCTATTTCCCTGCAAAATTGTTTTAGGAAAAAAATTTTATAAATTTTGACCAAAAGCAGCACTGACTGCTTGGTCAATGAATTCTGAATGTTTCCTTATAAGGAAATGGCTAATATTACCATTTACTACAAATTAATGGAACATAGAGGCCTGCACAAAGGTTGAAAACATGATACAATAAACTGGAATGGGAAGTTCTTTTGCATTCAGTATTTTCTCCACATCTCTCAGTTCCAGATTCCCTTGTTTCACTCTATGCAAAATTCTTTGACTTGGTGGCATACCTTCAGCCCAAGTTGGGACCTTTTGTGGTGTCCTCCCTCTAAAGAGTCTATGTTGGACTCTTCCACCTACTATTAGATTAGTAGAAGAGATTGAACAAGATGTTGTGACCAAGTAAATGGCTAAAGAAATAACAAAACAAGTGTCGCAGATATATCATATATTAAACATTAAGTACAGCAGTATTACACAACTAGTGAGTGTGTGTCGGTTGACCCAGCATTCAATCTATTCGACTGTTTCCCTAAGGCCTTCTCTCCTACTAATCTTATGGTAGGCAGAAGAGTTCAACATAGACTAGAGGGAGGACAACACAACAGGGCCATTTTATGACGTAGATTAGCTGAGGGGCAAAAGGTGATATCAATTCAGGGAAAATACTTTGATGACTTAATAATGATGCTATGAATTTATATAAAGATAAAGATTCTTTCAAAAAGAAAAAAACTTATTGTATCATCCTTTATAGTTAAATCTTAAAAATATATTCATAAATATTCTGCTTTTAACAAGATTTGGGTTTTAGTCAATTTCCTTAACCAGTTTAAAAACTTGCAGTTTGTAACAAACAGAAAATTACAGATGCTTTCATTGCTTCTGACTTGTCTGAAGTCTTCCAAAGAGAATTAAAATAAAATCAGTGTATTGCTAGCAGTCAGTTCAATGCTTCTAAAATCTGATAGGCTGATATTCTAAATATCTAGTCTAAATATTTTGTTGCCTAAAATAAAACGGAACATCTTGCTCTGTGCAAGAACATCCTGTTAGCTTGTTTTAATTAAACATATTATCCTAACGAGCTATCATCAGATGTTGGGAATGTTAAGGCAGCTGTATTAAGTGCAGTGCCACGTTGCATCACCAGATTTGTATCTGTCTGTTTGGATTTCTTTAAAGGAAATTTGTTTTTAGCCAAATTGTCAATGTTGAACTAATGTCTGGGTCTTTCACTGACAAGAACAGATACTGCCAGGATTTATATTTTTGTTGTAATGGTTGACAAGTCATAGCACTAACAGAAATCACTGTCAGCAGATGCTGTTTACAATCTACTGATTCTCTGTCCCACTTCTCTATTTCACTTGTATGTGTCTCTGTCTCCCTCTCGTCCATATGTGTATCTTTCTCTCGCTCTCTCTGCATTCATGTTTATCTTTCCCTCTCGCTCACCCTGCATTCATGTTTCTCTCCCACTCGCTCTCCCTACACTCATGTTTCTCTCCCCGCTCTCCTTACACAGTGTTTCGTGTTTCTCTCCCCCCTACACTCGTGTTTTCTCTCTACACTCGTGTTTCTCTCCCACCCGCTACACTCGTGTTTCTCTCCCACCCGCTACACTCGTGTTTCTCTCCCACCCGCTACACTCGTGTTTCTCTCCCACCCGCTACACTCGTGTTTCTCTCCCACCGTGTTTCTCTACACTACGTGTTTCTCTCCCCCCCGTTTTCTCTCCCACTCACCTCGTGTTTCTCTCCCACCCCTTCACTCGTGTTTCTCTCCCACCCTTCACTCGTGTTTCTCTCCCACCGCTACACTCGTGTTTCTCTCCCCTACCCGTGTTTCTCTCTACACTGTGTTTCTCTCCCACTCTCCCGTGTTTCTCTCCCACCGCTACACTCGTGTTTCTCTCCCCCCCCACTCGTGTTTCTCTACCTTACACTCGTGTTTCTCTTTCGTGTTTCTCTCCCCTTTCACTACACTTTTCGTGTTTCTCTCCCCTCGCTACACTCGTGTTTCTCTCCCCCTACCTATGTTTCTCTCCCACTTCCTCATTTTTCTCGCTTCCTCATGTTTCTCTCGCTACACTCATGTTTCTCTCGCTCCCCCTACACTCATTTTTCTCTCTACCGCTCTCCCTGCACTCATGTTTCTCTCGCTCCCCCTGCACTCATGTTTCTCTCGCTCCCCCTGCACTCATGTTTCTCTCGCTCCCCCCTGTTTTCTCTGCTCCCCCACTTTCTCGCTCCCCCTGCACTCATGTTTCTCTCGCTCCCCTGCACTCATGTTTCTCGCTCCCCCCTGCACTCATATTTCTCTCTCCCTCCATATTTCAGCTCCAGTCATGTTTCTCTCTCTCCTCTCCCTACCTTCCTGTTTCTCTCTCGCTCTCCCTGCACACATGCGTTTCTCTCTCTCTGTTTCCCCTCCCCTGCACTCATTTTTCTCTCTCTCCCCCCACTGTTTCGCGTTTCTCTGTTTCTCTCTCCCCCCACTCATTTTTCGTTTCTCTCTCTCTGTCCCCCCCATGTTTCTGCTTTCTCTCTCTTTCTCTCTCCCCCCCCTCAGTCATGTTTCTCTCCCTCTCACTCTCCCTACACTTATGTTTCTCTCGCTCTCCCCACACTCGCGTTTCTCTCTCTCTGTCCCCACACTCGCGTTTCTCTCTCTTTCTCTGTCCCCCACTCTCTTTCTCGTTTCTCTCTCTGTCCCCACACTCGCGTTTTCTCTCTGTCCCCCCCCCACTCTTTCTCTCTGTCCCCCACACTCGCGTTCTCTCTCTCTCTCCCCCACACTCGCGTTTCTCTCTGTCCCCCACACTCAGGTTTTCTCTGTCTGTTTCTCTCTGTCCCCCACTCGCGTTTCTCTCTGTCCCCCACACTCGCGTTTCTCTCTGTCCCCCACACTCACGTTTCTCTCTCTCTCGACTTCTCTATATGCACATGTCTCTCTCACCTTCTCTACATATGTCTCTCTTTTATTCACCATGCATCTGCATCTCTCTCTCATCCCCTGCATGCATGCATGCTTCTTTCTCTCTCTGCAAATGCACACATAAAAAGAGTGTGCTGATAAGCTCTTGATCTAACCAAGATGAAAGAATGCAAAAAAAAAATGTGAGGTTTTTTTTGTTTTTTATTTATTTAGATTTTGGGAAGTGGATAAGGACAAGAACTTTTCACCCTCTCGAATAGATGAAAGCAATTCTTCAGATTAGTGTGTTTTGTAATGTAATTCTAACAGAAATTTTTAAAATCTCATATTTTTTTTTCCTATTTACACAAATTTCAGTATCTGTCTATATTTCTGAGATGAGGTATTATGTACACTATTTACATTGTTCGGACTATTATCCTCAAGGACACTTGGCACAGTGGATAAAGGTGTTTGTTAGATTTAGTGACAGCACCCAAAGAGTGTGAGTTCAATACCTGGTTATGGTGGTGGAGAACTTGGAGAGGGGAATTACCAAGAGATTACTGATAACCGACATCCATGAGATATGGCATGTAGAACTAGAACAGTCTACCCCAGCGAGCAAAATAAAGGGTCAAATTTGACATTCCAACCACATGAAGAAGGCCGAAGCATACAATGGCTGAAACATTGTGATAAATATGGCAACAAAGATGAGGACATTACATTAGATTTACATTATCTGATAATTTCTTTGAAGATTTTCTGCAAAATAGTTAAATACCTGCACCAAATGGAATCTATAACCAAATCCACTTATCTGTGATTCTTAACAATGGAGCCAAACATTATTTTTTGCCTTCCATATTTCTTTCATGTTCTCTTTTTTTTTTTTTTCAACAGAAACACAGCAAAAATTAAAATGTTTATTTTTTCAGAAAATAATGTCAAATTTAGAAGGAGTAAATAAAAAAACTGATCAAATCTAATGAAAGTTAAATTTGTCAAGGACTTAAAACCTTATCAATGACAGAAATCCAATATAAAACTTATTACTTTGTCTATATGACTTGAAAAGGATACAAGTTGACATTACACTCTTTGTGTATGATTTTCCATTTTCAAAATGAGCAATCGGGTTGTCTCTAAGAATGACATAGACAATATTCTGATATGATGACTTTATGTAAAGTTAAGTCTCAAGTTTTAAAAAAATTAGGCGCTTTACAATTTTTTGTTTCTTCTTCTCTATCAACCATTGTGACATACCAATGAGAAGAAACACTCTTGTCCATCAATCATTGTGTCATACCAATGAGAGATTCTCTTTTTCCATCAACCATTGTGGTATGCCAGTGATACAAAATTCTTTTCCATCAGCTATTGTGACATACCAGTGATGTAAAATTCTTTTTTCCATTGACTATTGTGGCATACCAGTGATGAGAAATTCTCTTATCTGTCAATCACTGTTACATGTTTATGGGACATTTTGCATGTGGAGAATTGGATTCAAGCCATTGTTTCAGAGAGAAACTAATCAGCCTCAGCTGAAATTTGATCTCAATTTGACATTTATTATAATGAAACATGTCATGCTATTTGATCTGAATAAGTGTTTTAAAAAATTGGGGCAAACTGACTTCAAATAAACCATTACTAGCAAACATTCTTGTACTTGTAAAATCAGGGATCCCTGTTGGTTGCAAAGTTTTACACATTTTTGTCTCTGAATATTCTGTTAAATGTTGAAGACAATTACCTTGGACTATTGTATTATTATCAAATGATAATTCATGCCAATAAGTATTTTATTCTTTTTTCTTTAAATGACTGGCTTTTCAGTATCTTAGCTGTGTTTTTTTTTTTTTTTTTTTTTTACTTGACAACTACAAAAAGAATTTCATGCATTCCATTTGCAACACTCTTTTCCCCCCCCCTTCACCAAAAAATTCTATTTGGGTGATTGAAAGACAACCTGGGTGGGTGTATTTCTAGCTTTTGATCCATTTGAAGAATGTCTTTGATACCCAAATTTCAACCACATACAAAACTTAACTGCCCAACCCTACCTCGTTTTGAAAAAGTCACCTTTTGCTGGCTTTATGTTATGCTTGTTGTTATGGTACCCTCCCACCACCACCACAGAGCTTCCTTCCATCCAGATATTTTCTTATAACCCTTGTGCCCTGTAGCAATCTATCATCTGCCTAGATATGCTTCCACAACAACAGTAGACCCCCCCCCTTTTTTTAAATAGGGTCTAGGCCTTAAATGTTGGAATTAAAAGACTAGAGAGAGAGAAGGTAGTTTCTGTCTCTCTACTGTTCACTCTAGTGTAACCAGTTTTGGCCTCTAGCAGCATTAAAAAATAATAAAAAAATAAAATGAAAATTCAGGAGGTTACCCTTTCCCCCAGCCCCTAGGGACTGCTTAGACACAGCTTGTCTCTACCTCTCCTGACTCTGACTTCAGAATCAACCACCCTATTTACATCCGACCCACTCCAACTTGTTCCTGTCAGTGCTTGTTTTCTTTCTCCCTTAGTTTCCCTATTTAGAAATAGGCTGCAGGGCCTTTCCTTCCTTCCTTCCTTCCTTCCTTCCTTGGCTTAGCAGTCTACCATCTTGTAGTCACCTCCCCACCCATCTCCCTTTGCCATGCTTCAGATAAAAATAAGGAAAACAAAAGAAAAAGGTGATAAGAGAATATTCTTTTGAAAAAAAGACTCAAAACAACCTTCAGATTCAGTTTAGGTCTTTGATTTTATCTGTAATAATCTTGACAGCCAGAGACTGCCATCACCAAATTCTTCTTCTTCTGTCAGCAAAACTTAGGACAAGAATTTCTACTGCTTCATTTACTCTCAAGCCACCCCCCCCTACCCATTATCTCTGTGTACAGGAGAGAGAAAAACAAGTGGGGGGTGGGGGGTCTTCATGTCAAGCCTTGACTCCTACATGGGGGTAACATTCTCTTTCTCCTACACAATTCCTGCACAGCTTTATTGAAGACAGTGTCTATTTCCCTTTTTAAATAACCATATGATTAAGACCCTATTTTGCCTGAACCTTTCAGATGAGGAATTGTCTGATAACCACCAAGATTAGGATATTAGTCTGAATAAATCAGTTTATGATAATGCCAACTCTCAAAAATTCAGACCAAAATTAACAGATTCTTGCAAACTCTGTGATACACACAGGCAAAAAAGCTTCACAAGAAAACTGGCCAAGAATAGGCTCTGATAAGATATTCTTGACAAATTCAAAAAAGAGCAACCCTCCACAATTCTGTTGCCATGGGAAAATTATAAACAATTTTTCAGCTTTGATTAAGATTAATCAAAGCTGAAAAATTGTTTATAATTTTAGTTATGCAGAAATCATGATCTTGAAACAATTGTGTGTATTTTTTCTTTAATATTTAATAATTTTTTTTTATTCTCTTTCATTAGTAACTTCGGATTTTGACCAGTACTTAGATTGCTTAATTCTTGTACAAGAATTTGTACTTGCACAGCTGGTGACTTGAATTTTTATTTTCTGATAAAAAGAAAAGAAAAACATTTAATTTTTTTTTATTTATACTGTTGTTCCCCCAATATAAGACCCAAGAGCCACTCAATGTAGAGGGTTACTGAATACGGTTGTTGTGAGGACATAAAGGGAGGAATTAAAAAGTGCATATTATGCGGATATGTAGATTGGATAACAGCTGACCCTTTGTAATTAAACTTGTAGAATTGGTAGTATACAGTATGAAATTCTTGGCTGACTATATTGACTGACTAGTGGAAAGACTATATTGGATCCATTGCTAGTCAATTGCAAAAAAAAGTTGGTTCACTGTGTTGTGCAAGACAATTTTTCTCTCCAAAATCTATCTTGCATATCTATAAGTCTACCATTCATCCATGCTTAGAATATTGTTGCCATATATGGTCCAGTGCCTCTGCTATATATCTAGAGTTCCTTGATAAATCCAAAGAAGAATCAGCAATATTATTAGTCCTGATCTGGTGTCTCGGCTTCAGTCACTTTCCTACTGTCATAAAATGGCCTCTCTCTGTCTTTTCTATAAATGCTTTAAGCACAGTTCTAGGTCTCATCATATTACAGTTGAGTTGGCTAGATTTAACTAAGTTTCTTTTTTCACACTTCTAACTCGTGGAACTCTCTTCTGGCTCCAGGCTTTCCAGTCAACTTTAATCTTCCAAAATTTAAATGCAATGTCAATCACTATCTACTCTCCTCCTGATTACTTTTCCTTTGTTCCATCTCCTTAGTAATGTTTTTGGTTTGTACTTCTTCCATTCCCAGTAACTCCTTTGTGTCTTAGTGGCTTTACTGCCTTGCTTAGGGGGAACTCGATTAAAAAAAAAAAAGTAACATCTAATAACTCTTTTTGTGTAATTTGACATTTTCTTCTTTTTTTATTATTATTATTTTTTTTTTTTTTTTTTTACTTGTATAAGCAACACTGACATCAGCAGCAGAGTTGCTTAAGATGATTTTTCTAAGCATAGTATTAGTATGGGGGAACCCAGTGAGGATCGAACTCATGAATCATTCATAATTGTTCTAACAAGACAAGCTTGCTGACTATTACACCACATCAAGGTGCCCAAGCAGTGTTGCTTAAGATTTGTCAAATTTGAGTACACCTGCCTATAAGCAAAAATTGCAGGATTTAATTTAATATTTTCTTTCTTAAGCAAATAATCTTCTCAGCTTTATTGATACAAAGAAATAAATGTTTGATCTTTCCTTTGCAACCTGAAATACACTGTTTGATAAGAATTTCTGTTTTTTTTTTTTTGTTTATATACTAATCTTCTCCCTTGTACTGTAATCTAATTGCTTTGAAGATCTACTGGGAATCCAGTTCACATTAGACTTCAAGTTGAACTCCTGTATATGATCCATTGCTAAAGCTGCTTGGAAAATGCCCAGCTCTTTGTAATGCTGCAAAAAAAGTAGCTGACTTCTTCTGCTATTCTTTATCTTTACAAGAGTTCAGCTCGGACATAGAGTATTGCTGTTATGTTTCAACAGGAGCTACCCAATCCTCACTTGACAGCATTCAAAATCATTTACACAGCTTTGTGTGCAATGAATTATTCTCCACTTTACAGCCACTTTTCCACAAACAAACTTATCACAGCTTCCATGGCAAATGTTCAATCAAACTTTATTCTTTAGGGCCACCAGCTTAGACCTTTGCAGCCAAGACTCGCCTTTCTACTGCTACGGAGTTGTATCATCCTTATTCTCTATGTATTTCTTTGGTAAGAATGACAACTTCTTTCCAAGAATTGGTGTTCTGTGGAACAGACTACCGAGAGGGTGCTTCTCTAAACACTATAAACTTGACCTCTTCAAGTCTAAGCTCAACAAGTATCCATCCTCCTTATCCTCATAAACTTCACTTCCTACTTCCTCCTCTTACTTTCATTAATATGAAGAACATCATCTGGCTTCCATATTTGCCTGCAGATATTATATAGTGTCTGTGTGTGGAGGGATCAGTTTATTACATAATAACAAAAGAAAGCAGATCACCCAGTTAATGTCCAGCAATTTCAGTTTACCCATGCAATCAAAAAATAGTAGGATATTTTATGTCATTATTATTATTATTATTAAAAGTTATCACCTGAGAAAATTTAAGTATATATTTTTTAATTATTGCAACATGTAGTAAGTGTGGAGGGATCAGTTTATTACTTAATTACAAAATTAAATTACAAAATTAGAAAATAGATAACTCACTTTATGACTTGTGGAATATTGTACTATTATATGCTATCAAAGATGATCGGATACGAGTAATTGGTATTTCAAGTCATTATTAACCCATATAAGTCTTAAATATATTTCTTCCTCCCTTACCATTCTCCTTCTTTCCCTCTCTTTCTCTCTCTCCATTCTCCTTCCCTCCCTCTCTCTCTCTCTCCATTCTCCTTCCTCCCCTCTCTCTCTCTCCATTCTCCTTCCCTCCCTTTCTCTCTCTCCATTCTCCTTCCCTCCCCTCTCTCTCCATTCTCCTTCCCTCCCTCTCTCTCCATTCTCCTCCCTCCCTCTCTCTCTCCATTCTCCTTCCCTCCCTCTCTCTCTCCATTCTCCTTCCTCCTCTCTCTCCATTCTCCTTCCCCCCTCTCTCTCCATTCTCCTTCCCCCCTCTCTCTCTCCATTCTCCTTCCCTCCCCTCTCTCTCCATTCTCCTTCCTCCCTCTCTCTCTCCATTCTCCTTCCCTCCCTCTCTCCATTCTCCTTCCCTCCCTCTCTCTCTCCATTCTCCTTCCCTCCCCTCTCTCTCTCCATTCTCCTTCCCTCCCCTCTCTCTCTCCATTCTCCTTCCCTCCCTCTCTCTCTCCATTCTCCTTCCCTCCCCTCTCTCTCTCCATTCTCCTTCCCTCCCTCTCTCTCTCCATTCTCCTTCCCTCCCTCTCTCTCTCCATTCTCCTTCCCTCCCTCCCTCTCTCTCCATTCTCCTTCCTTCCCCATCTCTCTCTCCCCCATTCTCCTTCCTTCCTTCCCTCTCTCTCTCCATTCCCCTCCCTTCTCTCTTTCCATTCTCCTCCCTTCTCTCTTTCCATTCTCCTTCCTTTTCTCACTCTCTCTTTCTCTTCTTCCTCTCTAGTACTGGTCAGTTTCTCTTCTTCCTCAATTCCATGTATTTTGCTTTTAAAATGCTCTTCTCTACAATTTCTCCTTTTCAATTACAAATTGCCGCTTTTACATTTCAATTATTTCTGCCAACGCAAACAAACATCTGGATGATGTTTGTCCCCAATTGAGCTGAAAATACAATTTAATTTCATCAACCTGACTGACTAATTAGGTGGAGGTGATTAATAAAAAATTACAAATGCCAAAATTAGTCACGAGATATTTCGTTCCTGAACTGCTTCAGTCGTTCCCCACACCATCCATCCTATTTAGTTTACATCAACTTTACATATGGCATGTGCAATGATTTTAATTTTAGCCTCCATTTTTGCCTTCTCCCTTACCCGACCGCTCCTCTGAAATTGATTGATTGTTCCTGAAAATGTCTAGGGCAGTAGATATGGTCTAATTTCTCTGATTCACAGAGTAACTCCTCTCTCTCTCTGTGTTTATTAAGCGTGTGCAAAAGTTTCCAGCATTTTATTTTTAAAAAAAAGATAAAAAAAAGACTATTTTCTACTAGGTATTCAGTTTCTAGACACCCACCCACTAAAATAAAAGGTTGGTTCGCTAGAGATTTTGTACCCATCTAATATTTCTATTACCTACCACTGACTACAGGTTTACAAGTACACTATTAATTAATAATATTGGTATCACTATTGCTGTGGAGGGGCTGCTGAAAAGTTCTTAGCCTTACCAAGAAGGGTTTGAAAGAATAATTGTTTAGTTATTTGTTAAGATTTTTGGGGAGCAAATCTGGTTGAGAACTTTGATAATACATCCCACCACACTATCTACGAGGGTCGACTGGAAAGTTCACAGGCTGACCATGATGTAAGTAGACACACTAGTTGGTAGACTGGTGTATCTACTTATTTAAAGTCTAAAAGACATATTCTGTTACACTTGCATTTTTTTTTTAACTTTTAATCTACCAACTGGTATGTCTACCAACTTATATTTTGGTCAGCTTATGGACTTTCCAGCCAATCCGCATGCATTCAATAATAATATTATTACTACAACAGTAGTTGGAGGTAATTTAGGATTTTAGAGTGATTTGGGAGATAGAAAAAATTAATGGGATGCCTAAAATGCTATTAAATACAGTATTACATCCACAGTGCTCTACAGGCTTCACCCTCTTCCTGAAACTGAAAACGAAACTAAATTTGACTTCTTGGCCTCAATACTATGACTATGCTATTGAGCTTAGATCTATAATTTGTCTAAAATCATTATTGCCAATAATTTTCAAAATAAATTTTTAAAAAATCCATTCCTCTACCTTTTTTTTTCCTCCCAAAACATTGACTTAAAATCTTTTATTTGGAATATGTCTATAGGTCTCATTCCAGTAAAATGAAAAGCAAAAATGTAAAATGTGCATGTTTACAATGGGATAATGTTTTTAATTGAATGAGATAATTATGTGAAGATCAGATGGAAAAAATTTATAGAATCAAGAATCTTTAAAAAAAAAAAAAAAAATCTCATTCAAATTTATCTCTACATTTAACATCTCATTTAGCTCCCTCTACCCTTTTTATTTTTTTTGGGGGGGGGGTGACCTGTTTGTACTACATAACATTTCAAACTTGAAACAATTCTTAGAAAAGTAAAAAGATAAAAAAAAAGAAGTTATTTTCCCCTTCTCTTCTTTTTTGATCCTTGTGTATCGTTGCATGATGATAAATCGTGTTTTCTTGACTAAAATAAATGCATTTTGTTTAAAACAAAAAAAAAAGTTATGGGGGTGCGGTTATAATAGTGGACCCAATTTGTTTAGATGGTAATTTTATTTTCTCCAATTTAAATATATTATTAATGCCGTCAGTATGTATATAAATATTTCTTCCTGGCTATCAAGTTAACTTGCAAAGTTATACAAATTGCATTTAAAGTACGGGAACTGTACTGTTTTCTTTGGGAGATCCATTTTTCTTTCCCTTCTCTTTCTTTCTTTCCCTTCTCTTTCTTTCTTTCCCTTCTCTTTCTTTCTTTCCCTTCAATAAGAGTTTTCTTAATGACAACAATAATGATGATAATGATATTCATGTTTCTCTTTAACACTCCCCATACCTCAACCTGAAAGAAAACTCTCTCTCAACTATAACTACATCAATGAATAACAATTGACTCCTTGAGGTCATTCTCTCATTGTATCATTAAAATTCTACTTGATTGTTATTGTTGTCCATAATGTTAAGCATGAGGACTTTAGAATAATTTTTCTTTTTATCTCTCTCTCTCTCTCTCTCTAAAAAAAAAAAGAGAAAAATAGGGGTTTCTAAGCAAATGAAAAGAGTTCTGTTATGACAAGGTTGGTTGTTTAAGAAGTGTTTTATCAGTATAAAGGCCAGCGCTGTTTTATAAGAGAAAGGGTGTTTCACTATTTATTTCATTGTTTATTTACTTGTGTAAGCTTTATAGGCTCAACCACAGTGTAAAAATGCAACAAGTGCTTGAGTAATCAGTTATCCTTCTATTTGGCATGCTTGTATTTAATGTCATTTCTAATTTCTCTTTTTAATTTTGATAGGGAAATATCAAGAATTTAAAATTATTTACCAGTATTCATTTGATTGAAATATGTCGCTACAAATTATAGCAGAAAAATATCTGCAACAAGCAGAATCTTTAAAAAAAAAATAAAAGAAATGATTATTAAATGTCATCAAATACAATTATTGTAAAGATTTAATGATTTTTTTTTTATTTGATTTTAAAATAAAAATTATAAATTATTTTCCTATTTGCGAGAGCCAATTTTTTTTAATGATTCCGCCCCAAGTAAGGCGATAATGCCACTAAGACACAAGGGATTACTGAAAGTGAAAGGAAATGAGAAAAACAAAATATTTAAAACTAAGTATTTTATTCTACAAAACAAATAAATTAATTATAATTGAGATTTAAGATTCCTAAAAAAAAATTTACTGTCTCCAAAAGTGATCCAATTTAATCATTTAAATTAAAAAAAAAAAAAAAAAAAAAACTATCATTTTCAGTAATAGGAAAGGGTTTTGTGTTTTTTTTTTGAGGGGTAACTTTTTTTTTTTTTTTTCTTTTCTTTTTCCTATGAAATATTTTTAAATATTCTTGGTATTTATTTACTTTAACTCTTGATATTTAATTCAAAATCTGATAAATATTCAATCTCAGAATCTGTTTTAGGATGTGCAAGGCCCAATTAGGGAACAATTTTGTCGGGGCCCAATTTCCAGAGAGTACTCTAGAGTGGAGACCAATTGGAAGTCGTAATTGGTCCAGTCGGCCCTGAGGCCCAATAAAGTTTTTCTTTTGAACTTCAAACTTCATTAAATGTATCAGGGATTTCGCCTTCCCCACTCTTTTTTTTTTTTTTTTTCTTTTCTTTTAGATAGTTCTTGCTTGTTGATTAAATAAATACAAGCAAGAAACTCATTGAAAGAAAAAAAAGCTTTTCTATAACTTTGTTAACTCCTTTCTATAAAACCTAGAAAATAGCTGCAAATTGTTTTTTTAGAGAAGCTCCCAGTGGACAAACTCATGCTGCCTCCGACAACCTGGGTAATTTAAATCTTTCTATTACCCAAGGCTTCATTGCACCCCCACTTTTTTTTTTTTTTTTTTTTTTTTTTTTTTTTTTAAATTAATTTTATTTATTTTGGTTTATTGGAAGAGGGGGGGGGTATTATTTGTTTTTATCTTAATTGAAATCAAATTTGTTTGTGAGACTTACTCAGAGAAAAACAAGTTTTCTGTCGTGAAAAATATCTAGTAAGAAAAAAGAGATCCCAGAAGAAAAGAAAAAAATAAGGGGAACTGGGGGAGAAGGAAAGAAGGTCCTTAAAAACTGAAAAATCTAATCAAATTAGTCAGCTGTGGTATTTGAAGAAAGAAAGGGGGTTGAGATTTACAACCTCTCTCTCTCTCCCTCTCCCTCTCTCTCACTCTATCTCCCTATCTCCCCCCCCCACACCACCAAATCCCCTTTTACTCTGGGAGAAGAGTGAAGTTGGCCGGCCATGCAAATGTGAGTTGACAGTATGAAGTGACAGTGAATGGTTTAGGAAGAAGAATTAAATAATAAAAGACCCTGGGATGGGGGAAAAAAAAAAGGGAGATAAAATCAGGGGGTAGGGGAGTACAGCCGAAATGAATGACTGAACAAGAAGTTATATATAAAGCCGCCAGTCGGTGGATGTTAAAGGGGGGGATGTGTTCTCATAAATTTTCAATACTCTCTTGTTTATTGTATGGTAGCCTCTCATATTAATCTTGTCTATCTTGTTTGCTTCTGATACAAGAAGAGGCAAGTTAGTAACGATATATGCAGCTAATTAAACCCTTTGTCACATTTTGAGAGAGTAGCAAATCCAAAGCAACATACAATCAGAAACTGCTATTAAATGCAACAAATTACACAGCACTTATTTCGATTAGCTGCATTACGTAGAATGATTACTTTGCTACTTATATGAACATAAAATGTCTTTGTAAAAAACGGACACATTTTGTAGCAGGAGGATGATAAAAATAAAAAATAAAGATTAAAATGATCCCCCAAAAAAAAACCACTGAAATCTTTTTTTTTTTTTTTTTTTTTTTTTACAAAAAATTTGCCCTTCATAAAAAATTAATTTTTTTTTTTTTTTTTTTTCATATTCCAGCAGAGGGTGAACAAAATTTTAAAACTAAAAATGCTCAAATTGGTTCTAACGTAACAGCTTTATTCATAATATACAGATAAAACCAAAATGGACTCAGACTTTATGCCCACTATCATTATATTACTTACAGTTCAATTAACAATGCAAATGTAACTGCTGAACTGAACTCAGATTTTGTGTGCATTTCTATACAAAAATATGGGTAATTTTAAACTTTAAAAATTAAAGTAAAAAAAATAAAAATTATTTTTTCAAGTTAACTATGCTTCATAATACATACAACAAATTTAGTTTGTAGTTGCACAGATAAAATGCAACTTTATCATTTTAGGCTTCTCTACCTTAAAATTATAGATGTGATGAACTAACAAAAAAAAATCATGTCATAAAATCATGTCATAAAGTGAGGGTCTAGTTTAGCATAAAACTTCCATTTGCTAATTTTAATACCCTAAACAATAAAAACTTTAAAATATAAAAAGTTCATTTCCCTAAGAATACAAAAGAAAATTTTTTCTTAGAAAAATATGAAATTTAGTCTAACAGAATCTTTATAACAAATGGTTAATTGATAATTGTATGTCAAGGCTGTTGTGGCATACCAGTGGCAAGATATCTTGTCAAGATATCTAGTGATAGAGTAGAGCAAAAGGAAGAATCAGTTCATGCCTTTCCTGGTATAATTAAAACAAAGTGAATATAAGCAACCATAGCCAGAAATTGAACCCTAATCCTCACCAGCTTTCTTTTCCCTTGATCATTATTCCCCAAAAATTAAAAATAGTTGTCATAGGAATTGTTTCAGTTTTCAAAGGTAGAGACTTGGGCTTTTATTTTATATATTTTTTTTCCATTAAAGAAATATATACACATTGTATTGAGGAGAGTTTACCAGATTTTCTTATGTGCAAAAATTAAAGGCAAAAAAGTTGAGGTATTATAACACAAGTGCATAATGCTTTTAAAAAAAAAAAAAAAAATCATATTTGAAACAGCAAGATTGAAATACACTCGGCACAAAAATATTCAAAAATAAGTTTTGAAATGGAAATTAAGAGAAGAGACATGCACTGGCTAAACATCTGGTTCATTTCTATTTGTTAATATCATGAGAAATTAAACATTTTAGTGAAATATATGTATGTATGTTTACATAGAGATACTCTATAGATAGTATTATCTTCAAGGACATAATTTATTCCATCTTTAACTTCAGAATCACATGTTCATATTATACACAAGAAAATAGGATAAATATAAAATTAATGAAATTAATTTGAAAAACAAAAAATCCAATGGCCAATATTTGATGGAATTTTTTTCTCTGCAAATACCTGTGTATTGCATTCAGCATTATTTGGACAAAATTTAACTGCTTTTTACCTAATTTATCTTGGTGCCAATGGCTTAAGTTCTCTTTCTTTTCTTTTTTTTTTTTTTTTTTACCATCTCCCTTCAGAGTTTAGGCAATCATGACTCTCCACAAATTCTTTTTCTTTATCTGTGAATTGCCATTACTTCTTGGGAAAGATATTGAAGTGTTCCCCCATTGCCTTCTCTATAGTTTTGATTTCAGAATTTTCTTTCTCTTAAACTGGTTGCCACCCAAAGCTTGAAATCCCAGTCACTCTACTGTTTAATTCATAGCTAAAGGAAAGAGATTGAGATTTATGCCTTTTCCAAGGTTATTTGTCTGAAAGTGATTGCAACAGACAAAGCTGGAATTTGAAATTGCCTCACTGACTTCACTTTCCACACTGGTAACTGTTATGTTGACTACACATTAACATGATGCATTTTGACAATGAATATGTTCACTTGTGAAATAATTGTTTTAATATAATCCCTATAATTTTCTTATCTTGCACAAAAACCCTATGCTTGGCAATAAATGGTAAATGTCGACGATAGCGAAATAATAAAATTTCATTTTTGCTTACACTGATTACATTTGACAAATGTTTAAAAATTGAAATCATTTTATCAACAACCAGATGTTCCCTTACACATTTGTGTAAATGATGAGATGTCTCATCAATGTAACTTTATTTGTTAACATACTACAGTATAACCACATGCTGTAGATCCAATCAGTATTTCATCTTTATTTGAAAACCAAGAAGCAATTACCTGACTTTTTTAAAAACAGTCCTCAACAATACACCATTTTTTTGATAACACCAAAAACTAAGATAAAATCTAAGCATTTTATTTTAAGAAAAATTTAACTAAAGAATTACAATGATTTATTTCTGTATGTAATCATTGTAATTTTTACAAGGATGAATTTTTGATGATGTAAAGATGTTTTTTATGTTAATGCTAAAAGATTCCAAGTATCTTATTATAATTGCATTTGTCCCTCCTTCATTATTTTGCATAACCATTATGCCCTGCCAACACCTCATAAATAATAGACTGTTCCATTTTGATCACATGGAAAGAAGGGGAAAAGACACTAGTTGGTTTCAGTGAGAAAATGAAAGAAAGGAAAGAGAGAAGTGGCGGGGAGAGAGAATCAGATTAAGCTGATAAGAACAGATACAACACTTTGATCTTAGCCAGAAGGCTGAGAAGCAATTGTATTTTCTTGCTGCCCTATGCTGTCAGGATGTGACAAGTTCAGTTTAATGTGGGGAGCATGTGCACCTGGGCCAAGTTCAGAAATAGCCCAGCCTGCACAACCATCAGTTGCACTGGCATCGATATTGCTACTGATCCCCCTCTTGAGTACAATGAGGTAGCTACTGCCCCAAGAAGCTGTTTCCTAAGGCCAGACACTTCTCAGTAATATTTTCATTTGTGCCCTGTCCGAAGACACACAACTGGGAGACAAAATGTAGTTTATCTGTCTGTGGGCAGATACTACACTTTGATACCAACCAAAAAGCTGAGAATTGAAGGTGATTGTGATAAATGTGCCATTTTTCAAATGCACAGTACAGAAAAACAGAAACTGACTTATGTAATCACCAAAAATCCAGTTACCATAAATAAAATAGCATCGTCTGTTGAATTATTTAAAAATTATTATAAAGAGAAATATTTGCAAGACAGGGATTTGATTAGGAAATAACTAATATTTCTATTCTGACAATCATTGACTGAAAATTTAAAACTTCCAATTTCATTGACATTATTTTTATTGATGAGAATTCACATGTAATAACTGCTACAATGTTTTTTATTATTGTTTTTTTTTTTTTTCTTTCTTTTTTACTTCATCTTTTCTGTTTATTTGCTGTTAAGTATCAATTCATTAATAAATAGGTTTTGTGAATTTGAGAGTAACATTTAAAGAAGCGGGAAAGAAAGCAGTGGGAATCTGGACAGCTGCAGCGTCAGCCTCCTGCTGCTGCCGCTAAGATTTATTGTAGTTGTCTACTCCATCTCCACTGCCTCCTCCTCCTCTTCTTCTACTGCTGCTGCTCTGCGATGATTTGTCAACAAAATTGGGTATTTATGGAGCTGCGATGTTAGCGACGCCAGGAATCATTCCCGTCTTGGGGCGTGGAGAAAACCAAAGAAAATTGCATATTACTACAGTAAAGTAATTGGCAGACAGATATAACAATTTTTATGGCCTGAAAAGCAGTGTTTGTTTGGTTTTCCTAAGACTTTTATTCCACTCCTCTCCACCACCATTACCACTTTTTTATGGCAGCATTTCAGATGAGATGGTCGTTCAGCATGAATCGGCAGTTGTTTAGAAAGGGGAGTGATGTGTCAGTACACTGGAAAATCAATAATTACCTGTTTCACTTCTCTCCCCCTTTTTTTCCCTTTCCACACGCACGTCACTTATTTAAATACGTTGCAAAAATAGACTTTTGCTTCATACGAGAAAATGCATGTTCACTTGTATTCAGTGCAAAGGTTACCTCAAGAACATTTGTGTCTCCATACTCTTATTTGAAGCCATGGTCTCATAATCTCCATTACGCCTACAATTATACTTATAACATCCACACACAACCCTGTATTTAAATACACACTCATTAAATCAGTCTGCACCTATTCACAGAATGCATACATTTTATTGTACTTAAAATGTAAAAAATCTTTGTAGCAAAAAGTGTGAATACTTGTAAAATCCATATAACTAACTATACAAACAATAAGATAGCATGAAAAGTCTCTGGTCCCAGCTATATACACACACACACACACACACATCCTCCTGGCCCATGTTTTATGGATGCAGAGAGTGTGACTGGACTTGAATACTGGTCATGTCTGCTTGTTGACATGATAATTTCCTGCAAGGAGTGTTTCTGTCCCAGCCATAGGCTAACTATATGTTCTTTTATTTATGAACTTCTAAACATGTCCCACCATTTATTTTCAGACCCCTGTAAAGTGTCACAAAATAGATGTACTGAGGGTCAAAGAATAGATACCCACATATCTCCCCCTAATAATAATAATAATAATAAACAAGGAAATTTGTGTTTCTCTTTTTAACCCTACCCATAGCTCAAGCTGAAGACTCTCCCCATTATGGCCATATCAATGAATAACAATTGACCCCTTGAGTTCATTCTCTCTTTGTGTCTTTAATATTCTGCTCTATGGCAATTGCTGTTATTGGTATCAATAATCTCCCTCCATCCCTCTCTAAAAAGTGGTGGGGACTTCTCAGCAAAATGTTCTGTTATTGAGTAGTTGGTTGTTTAAGTCTTTTTATCAGGGGTGTAGGGAGCAGGTGTTCCATAATGGTAGGGGGAGGTGTTTATTGTTTATTTGCTTGCAGATGATTTTTATCAACAGACATTTTTGGTTTGCTTGCTAAACATTCAATATGGTGTGTGACTGCTTTATAGAAGAGATTAAACAAAAAAAAAATACAAGGAAGGAATTCCCTATGGGTAATTGATGAACTGTACAGTGCTGATGACTCCAGAGAGTTTGGTAGAGAAGAACACCAGGAGGGGTGAGGGAGTTATAGGTTTAAAAAAAAAAAAAAAAATCCACCTTCCCTACCCAACTCTTGCTTGTTAATCCTTTACCTCTCTTTCTTTCTATCTTTGCTTTGCTTTGTTTGTTCACTGTGCCCTTGTCTGTCATCTTTGTCAAGTCCCTCCCTCCAACTCTCTCTCTCTCCCTCATGCATCCCTCTCAACCTTTTATCAGGTCCCTTCCCCACTACTCATTTTCACCCCTCCCTCTTTTTGCCACACCCTCCCCCCACCACCAACCCTGTTATCTCCTCTTAGTGATTTGCTGCTCTGCCAGTGCAGCTTTGTCATTATATTTATTGGGAGGATGATGCATGCTGGGAAGGGTGGACTGGCTTTTAGTAGAAACTGCTTACTTTAACTTGCATCGGACTCACTCACTTTCTCTGTTAAGAATACAACTTGCTATCCAAACTATCTAACTAGGGCTGAGTAGAGGGTGGGGTGATGTAATATATATTTAAAAAAAAACAAAAAAAACACCTCTTCTATATCAAGCACTGATGAAGGCTGCAGGAGCAACCAAACATTTTGTGATTTCCAAAGAATTTTATTGTACTCCCACATGTCAACTAAATAAAAAAAAATATACAAAGAATATATTTATCATTTACTTTTTGCATAAAATAAGGAACTCTTATATGTGAATATTTATATATATATATATATATATATATATATATATATATATATATATAGAGGAATGGGTACGTTAAAAAATCTACATACACTCACATATAAATATATTTCTTCCTCAGGTGTTATAAATATGGTGCTCAATGTTGTGAAACAGAGCTATAAGTATAATAATTTTTTTTTATTTTTAATTCTTTGCCTTTTGAACTTAAGAATTTGAATGATAATAAATTATTAATAGTTAATTCTAATATTTTACGCAACAACAATTAAACCAGTTTTAAAACACAATTTCGAATCATCCCCATGAGAATGCAAACTATATAGTGGTCAGATTATGTTTGCACCTGAAGATTGCAAAGACTGCATGAAACTCTGAGTCGTACTATCAATGTTGGATATATATATATTCATTATATATATATATATATATATATATATATATATATATATATATATATATATATATGGGCAATGAGGTTGGTATTAACCTCACTCTATCTCTGATATTGAGCACTTTTACCTATAAATATAGCATACCTTAAAACTATATTTTTATCATACTTGTACATTCAAAATAGACACTCCATTTTTATTTTAAATAGTATATATTACAGCTATCTATCCCTATGGGGGTGGGGACAAAGTTTCTATCCATGCCAGAGAGCACATTTTCTTTATTGAGATTTCTAGAATGCAGTGCAAATACAAGGCTGGTAGATGTAATAAACAGTGTTTAAAATAAAAATGACACATCTATTTTAAATACAAGTATCCACTATAATAATGCTTGAAGTAATAAAATATGTTTTTAAAATAGAATACAGAAGTCTTGACAAAGTTTTTAAGAAATTTGACTAATGGAAAATATCTTATTGAAAATAATAATTTTATATATATATATATATATATATATATATATATATATATATATATATATATATATATATATATATATATATATATATATATATATATATATATTATATAATATATTATATATATATATATATATATATATATATATATATATATATATATATATATATATATATATATATATATATATATATATATATATATATATATATATATATATATATATATATATATATATATATATATATATATATATATATATATATATAATATTATATATTTCTTTCACTCTCATTAACCCCTTGCATATTAGTGGTGTTGTGGCCTTGCTTTGGGGTGAAATCATTCGAAAAAGACTTCATTGATAAACCTATAAGTAAATTTCTCGGATTACTTAGATCCTAAATCAAATTACTTGTGTATCTAGTATTGGCAAACATTATCAGATTTTCTACCAAAAGATTTATCAAAATCCCTATCGTAAACTCTGGTTTCTATATCAGATGTAAGAAGGTTAAAGAAACTCGTACTTGCTGAACATTGCTTGAGAAGTAAACAGTTTGTTAGCAATGTATTTCTATGGAAACCATCTCCTGGACATAAAAGCTTTGGATGCTCTTCAAAGACATACACTAACCAACTTACAAGATTTTGAATAAATTAACAAACATCATGAGTGACCAAGAAGAATGGCATCGTGAATTCAAGCAAGATTCACCTGACAATGACGAGTAAAAGCTTAATGAACATCTTTAAGACAAACTTTTGGAGAATCTATTTTGTTATATAAGGAACAAAATTAAAATGTAAATTTGATAGCAAGAAAAATGAGATGAATTTTAAAACAATCTCAGTAGCAAAAATAAAATTCAGCCTTGTAATTGTAATATTAGCCATTTCTTTATAAGGAAACAGTCGGCATTCATTGAACCATCAGCCAGTACTTCTTTCATATTTGGTGACATAACTGAGATTCATTAGTATGAACCAGAATCAAAAAGACAATTAATGGAATAGTGTAATCTGATGTCTCCAAAGGAGAAAAAAGTTCAAAGCAGAAATAGTAATGGTAATATAAGCTGTTTCCCTACAAAGAAACATTCAGCATTCACTGACCAAGCAGCCAGCACTACTTTCATTTGAAATTTATAAAGTCTTTTTCTTAAAACAATTTTTCAGGAAAATAGGTTTCTCAAATCCATTAGCTATTGTCTCTTTCTAGTACTGATAGGGGGTTTCCTTCCTAACCTTTTATTTGAAGTCACGTGGAACATCAACATCTTGATTATATCATTATTTTTGCTTAGAGTAACATGAGATAACCATTTTACTGTTGCTGCTGTTGGTAGTCCTCAAGTGATGTGGTATCTGTTATTTGGTACAGTTCTTTGTGATTCTGTAGCACCACTCAACAATATTCAAAGAAGAATGGCCTTTACCAAGACTCTCAGGTTTCACTTGCTCAAAGCTTTTTTAACCATTGATCTGAGAAAGTGGTTACATACAGCTGACGGCTTAGATATTTCTGGATGGGTTTAGCACCATTTATGACATTCATATGAATATCTCAAATGCTTCTTATCAAAATATCAGCTTGACTAAAACTTGAAATGTAGCAATATCAAAATGGAAATTTTTTGTGTACTTCCTGGATTTAATGTTATTAGTCACACATTCCATTTTTCAAAATACCTTTGACTTTCAAATAGTGTACAGTTATTCTTTTTAGAGAAAAATCAACCTGGGATTTCCTTATTCCAAGCACCCCTTTTATTAAACATCCTGAAAATTTCATTCCACTGTTTACTTTAAGCTGAAAAAAAATTATTTAAAAAAAAAAAATAGAAATCCAGTCGACCCTTTTATTCCAACCAACCCATCATTTTGAAACTCGTGTATGTATGAATTTCAAATTTATTTAATAACTGGTTATGAGGTCTGAATCAGTGATGGTGGAATTTTAGTAGTTACTATTTCTTTATCTGCCTTTTGCCTTATTTATCTAAATGTCTCAGTTACTTTGATTAATCTCCTATTTACATTGAATGAGTGACAAGGAAACAATTTCATTTAAATGTTGGCATTTTTTTTTTTTCAAAGAACATTTAAAGACTAAACTCCCAACAAGACAGCAGTTTTAAATTTTAATAATAATTTATTTCAGACAAGTTTTTTATTGTCAAATATCTGTTTGATATTTTTGAACTTTATATTATATTTGATATTCTTGTATCTTTCAGGATCCTCCCGGCTCGGTCACTTTGGGTCTCAGAATGGAGGAAATGATCTTCAATTTAGCAGACACTCATCTATTCTTCAATGATTTAGAGGTAAATTTATCATTTTTATTCAAAATTTAATTTCCCAGCCAAATGGCTGGCCTATGTTGGTAACAACGAACATGTTGCATTCTGGTAGACTTGCATGTCTTTTAGTCTCCCAATTGGTGTGTCTATTTATATCTTGGTCAGCCTGTGAACATTCCAACTGACCACATTATATGCCTCTTCTTCGCTTGTACACATGAAGGGTGATAACTTTGCACAATACAAAGCACACTTCAAAAATCAAAACTCATACAAAATAGTTGTATTAGCTTCTTCTTTATATTTTCCATCTGCTCTTGATTGGCAATGTTTGCTGAAATATCTCTTGCCTTTCTTCTGAAGTGGACATTCAAGCTTTGTTAGATTTTGTTTTTGTTTGAGGTTTGTGGAGTTAGTAACTGATTATTAGGCATTGTCTGTGGAAGTTAAGAATTAACTCAAGCTTGTTTGGCCTTCCTCCAGTCAGCATTTTGCAGTTGCAGTAAAAAGGCAATAGCCACCTGTAGGCCTTCATGACTATACTGAGAAATTTCTAGATGACTTGTCATGTGCTGGATATCCCAACCCCAAGGAAGTTTTGGTTAGCAAATATACTTGTAAAATCTGTGATTTTTTTTTTTTCTCAACTTTATAAGCTATTGTTAGACATGCACTGAAATCACTCATATTGCAAAAGGTATAATTAAAAAAAATTGATAGCATTAATTTCCTTAAAAAAAAAAAAAAAAGAAATACTACCTTTGTCCGATTTGCATATATATATTTCATGAGCTAAATGGAACAATTATGGGACAGAGGTACTACATTGTTATCTCTGTCCCATAAGCATTGTTATATTTCCATTCATATTTCATGCACTAAATGTAACAATTATTATGGGACAGACGTGTTAGGTTATTTATTATGCTATCTCTGTCCCATAAGCATTGTTACCTTTCCATTCATATTTCATGCACTAAATGTAACAGTTATTATGGGACAAACATACTGCATTATGCTATCACTGTCCTATAAAGGTTGTTACATTTGCATACATATTTCATGGTCTAAATGTAACAGCTATTTGCAGGACAGAGCTTGTACAATGATTCTTTTCTCTCTCTAAAGTTAATCATTTTCATTTTTCCACTTTTTAATAAATTTTCCACTCGGCCAAGCATGAGAAACATTCTACTGTTTGTTCGTCAATAATCACAGCCAGAAGCTTGTTTACCACTTCCTGGTACCCAACCTCATTTTCTTCTTCTCCTCCCCCTACCCCCCCGTCACTCATATCCTCCCCATGCACTACTTGCTAACTTCTCCCTCCACCTGCTCCCTCTCTCTCTCTCTCATGTGCACACACACACACACTCTCTCTCTCTCTCTATACAATTTCTGATTCACTCTCATATTTATTGTTACTTACTTTTCTCCTCTACCCACCCTTTCCTTCTTTCAATCTCTTGCTTTTTCTTTTGGAATGTTTCTCAGTGTCCTCCTCGTACCCCTCCATCCCCCCTATCTTCCTCCACTCACCCCCCCACCACCACGAAATTCTGGGTGTGATGAGAATTTGGCATTTGTTTCCTTTTCTCTTCAGTATACGAGATCCAATAGAATGGATATTATAGTAACTTGGTTGATCTACATTAGCAATAATCTAATCTCAAAAAAAGCTATCCGTGCTGACCTTTTTTATTTACTACCACTTCTCTTCAGGACATTGGCATTTATAGCTCTCCACAGCTTCCATTTCTTTTATATCTGTGAACTGCCATGATGCTTCTTGGAAAGTTAATGACATAGTTTTTCTTTTAAATTCAGAGTTGTTTTAGACTGGTTGTCCTACCAAGGTTAGAGACCCCAATCTGCCCTGTTATTTTACCCATAATAAAGGAAAGCTGGGTTCAAACCTTTCCAAAGTACAGTAATACAGCTTGAATTTGAAATCTGCTTGCCAATTCCATTTTCTGCACTTTCTTCATATTACCATTCTTCTTCTATGTGCTGTGTTCCTTTAGGACATGGGTGATCCTGGCTCTCTACAACTTCCTGTCCTTTGTAACTCTTAGTAAGGTATCCCACCTAATCCTTACCCTGCCAAACATTAACAAAAGCTCATTGTATAGGTTACTCATGCCTTTCCTCTATCCTTTTACTTTCAATATCTCATCTGAGTGTCAAATTTTCCAAGTCTTCTTTCCTTAGTACCAACCCTCTATTTCTCATTCTAAGTATAAGTGTCTTTTTTGTTTCCATTTTACTTAAAACTTCTTTGTTACTCACATGTTCAGTCTATGGTATACTTAGCATCCATCTGTGGAACATCCATGTTGCTTTTTTATCTATGAGGAAATTCTCCAGCATTCACTATCATATAGGAGGACTGATATTACATATCAGTTCAATACTCTTTGCTTTGTTCCTGATGAAATTTTCCTGTTTCTTAATGCATTGCTTAGGTTTTGAAAGGCTTCTTGCTCTATCTCACTCTGCCTTTGGATTTTGGTGTCCCATTTTTCTAGATTTTTAAATTTTTCATACTTGTTTGATTTTGCTGTCTCCACTTCATAGTTTATATCTTGAACGGTTCCTTTTACTGACAACCATATGTTCTTTCTTCTTACAATTGATGTTTGGTTTTTTTTTTTTCTCACTTTCTGTAGGATTTCCTGTAATTTTCTTTTTGTGTCTGCCATCAACACTGTGTGTCATGTTTTGTTAAGATTGTGGCCACAAATAATGAATTCTGGTAGGATTTCTAATTCTCATAATTACCTCACTGTATTGGTTGAATAATAAGTCCAAAGAGAAGAAAAATCCTTGTCTTACCTGCCTTTCTATCTTTGTATAATTATTGAATTTATTTCCTATCCATATTCACAGGCAGTTTACTCTCAGTGTAAGTTCTGAATTATTCTTATACATTTCCCAAATAAATTAAGCTTACCTAGTTCAGGTAGGTTCTTTGTGTTGGACCTTATAAAATCCTAATGCCCTCAAATGATCTCTTTTTACATATAAAAAATAAATAAATAAATTATCTTAAAAATTTTTTTTTTTTTTTTCTCCCCAGGAATGTGATCAAGTCCATATAGATGATGTTTCTTCTGATGACAATGGCCAAGATCTTAGGTAAGTTCCTCTATGCTTCAGCACTTCCTCTTTTGGATATCTTTTTTTTTTTTTTCATTTTTTTTTTTTTAATCCTCATTTCACTTTTAGAATCTCCAAAGGAATTCAAAACAGATTTAAAAAAATATTTCTGTATTCAGCTGCTAGTCCCAAAATAATTGTTACATTAGCATACATATTTCACCTTCTTATAAATTTGTGTAAAGCTAAATTTTGTCTGTGTGTGATCAACAGATCTCCAGTATTTCACTTGGGGTTGTCCCAATCAGCAACTCAACTACAACTACAAAATATATTTCAAAGGATTTTAAAAAAAAAAAAAAATATCTTTTAATAATAACAGTATTTTGCAAATAAATAAATAAAAAAAATCAATTTAAATGTCATCAGATAATAGTAAAACCTCAAATTAATTTAACAATAAATATTTTAAAAAATTAATTGATAATGGAAATATTTTTGTTTACAGATCACGACAGCTATTAGGAAGATATGATTAAATATACTTTAATGTTTAAAAAAAAAAATAAGCATTATAATATAGCACAAATTGTGGGAAAAGGCATTTTTGACATTATATGCATTTTTAACATATGGTAATTTTTTAACTGATATCAAAAACCGCATTCTTGTACCTCTAGTCATGGATAATATTATACATTAATTAATAATTTTTTTAATTAATAACTATTTGTGCTCAACTGTTGACATTAATAGCTGATGTAATGGAATAACCAGTCACCCCTATGAATGATTACATTATAGGTAGTAAGTACCTATAAAGTCAACTGTCTACAAGAGACTCATACTGGTTGTGTACAATAAACCTTTCTTCTATTATCCACCCGGTGTTAAGTATTTATTCCCTTAGCACAAAATATAACAATAGCTATCTGCTGATATGTTAAAATAATGCTATAATAAAAAAATTTAAATTGCATCTCTCTGATAGATATTGCAATCTGTTAATTCATTTATTTTTTTAAAAAAATTAATTTACGTCTTTAGTCAAACATATTTCTTAGTAGTGAGAGGGAACTTGCACTTGTTCTCTTATGGTGTATTGTAAACTTTTTTATCTTGTGGCGTATTGTAAACTTTTGGGGGTCATGCCTAGTATATATGCTTCACTAGTGTTTATTGGTTTCCTCATCTCTCAAGAATCTACAGTATTTGATTTTGTTTCTCTTTCAGTTAAATCTTTTACTCTGCTTGGTCAGACTTAGAACTTTTCAATACTCCTTTTACACACACACACACACACACACACACACACACACAAGGGAAGTATATAATGGTGTGGTTGAATGAACTGAGGCAAGGGTGTATAAATATTGAGTCAAGACACGTTCCATGGATCTGCAATAAATATGGGTTATTTTGCAAGTGGCACGTGGGGTTGGTGTCATGTAACAGGTACAAACGAAATGAAAACAATGAATCATTGACCCTCACACATCAAAAATGACAGGAGAGTCCATCACACACAAACACATATACACAGTCAGCCATCATCTTCCAAGTCTTGCTAACCTCAGTTTCACTTACCTGATTCAATCAGCGAAATTTTCACATTCAAAACTTTTATTAAACTAAAATTACTTTACCAAAAATGTATTTCAAAAGAGAAAAGTATAAACAAAAAAGCATTGACTTAAACAAAAAGCATCAGTCTTCGATAATAATATTTTGAAAATATAAATAAGAAAAAAAAAAAAAAAAAATTTGTTGAAATTTTCTCAAAGTCAGCCATTAGTTGATTACTTTACGAATCAGAGCTTTCCCCTCACTTAAAATTGTGGGTGGAAGACATGAACAGAAAATGTGTTCCAATCGTCAGTTATAATTCTCTTCTTCTATGTGCCATACTCTTTCAGAACATTAACGATTATGGCTCTCCACGCTTATCCTGTCCTTTGTAGCTCTTAATAAATTTTGTCTTTCTCTCCTAAACCCTGTTCAACCATCTATTTACTCAAGTTTGCTAGGTAGGTTACATATTCTCTGTTGCCTTCAATTTGTCCTGTGAGTATCATATTTTCTAAGCCTTCTTTCCTCATTATGTGCCCTAGAAACTTTAATTGTCTCTTCCTGATATTGAGTATAAGTGTCCTATTTTTAAAATATGATGGTGATGTCTAGAGAAACTCTTACCAAATATACACAATTTAATAGCACTTTAGATAAAATTTCAGGACACCGCTTATATCAACTGGTCCATCTGTAAAAACATGGAACTTTCTTTTACCAATTATATAGATGAGCATTCATTAGGACTTTCTTTACCCATAGCATTTGTCAGAATTGAAAAATATTTTTTTTAACTATTTTAGAAAGTGGGGGTCCACTTCGTAATATAAATACAGTGTCAAATTGATCCCTGACTTCATAAAGATTTCTCTCTATTTTGTTTTCATTTACAAATATCAAGTTTCAAACTACTTACATTATTGATAACTACATACTATATTGATGATGTCCTTTTTCCCAATTTGTAATAGTACATATAAATTCTATTCAGTTAGTGTTTTGTCTGTTTTCTCTTTTCTTCCCTCGCTTTCTTCTCATTTCCTTCCTTGCTCTTTCTTCTACTTCCCTCTCTTGTTTTTTTTTCTCCCTCTCTCTTTCTCCCTCATCACTCCCTTTCCTTTTCTCACTCATCACTCCCTCACTCTCCATTTGAAAAGTTATTGAAAAGAATCAGCTGTAAAGACATAACCTTAGAAGTTCTGGTCATTGTCAAGAAATGTAAATTTGAATTCACATTTATATACGCTCAAGCCGGTAGGGCGTTAGGTGGCTGTCAGCTGCTGTCATATTTGACAACATGTACTAGTACAATTTTTTATGCTAACACAATAAGAAAAAAAAAAGCTTATTTCAACGTAAAACTCTACTTTAAAAAGGAAATAATATACCAGGTTGTTTTCTCTTATGATAAAACCATTCATCTTTTTTTTTTTTTATCTAGTCTTCAAATATCCTGGTTTGTCAGAAGCATATTTGTTATCTGTGCAAAAATTGAAATCTTCAAACTAAGTTTAAATTCCACATTAGTCTGTTGTGTTCACTTTCATACAAATATGTTTGGGGAAGGTATTAATCCATTTCTTGTCCCTCTGAGCTATGGGTTAAATACCAGGGTATTGAAAGCTTTCTGGCCTGGGTTGACAGTCAGTCCAGAAGATTGACAACTCTGAATTTAAAACTGAAAAGAAGGGAATGGGGAAACCACTCCATTATCTTTCTCAATTTGTAATAGTATTTATAAATTCTATTCTGTTAGTTTGGTTTTCTTTTCTCATTATGTGTTACTCACTCTCTTTTTTCCCTCCGTCACTGGCACTCTCTCTTTCTCTCTCCCTCCGTCACTGGCACTCTCTCTTTCTCTCTTCCTCCGTTTCTCCCTGTCACTCTCTTTCTCTCTCTCCACTCCGTCACTTTCTCTCTCTCTTTCTCTCTCTCCCTCCGTCACTGGCACTCTCTCTTTCTCTCTCCCTCCGTCACTGGCACTCTCTCTTTCTCTCTCCCTCCGTCACTGGCACTCTCTCTTTCTCTCTCCCTCCGTCACTGGCACTCTCTCTTTCTCTCTCCCTCCGTCACTGGCACTCTCTCTTTCTCTCTCCCTCCGTCCTGGCTTTCTCTCTTTCTCTCTCCCTCCTCTTACTCCTCTTTCTCTCTCCTCCGTCACTGGCACTCTCTTTCTCTCTCCCTCCGTCACTGGCTCTCTCTCTTTCTCTCCCTCCGTCCTGGCTCTCTCTCTCTCTCTCCCTCCGTCACTGGCCTCTCTTATCTCTCTCCCCTCCGTCCACTGGCACTCTCTCTCTCTCTCTCCCTCCGTCACTGGCCTCTCTCTCTTTCTCTCTCCCTCCGTCCTAGCACTCTCTCTCTCTCTCTCACTCTCTCTTTCTCTCTCCCTCCGTCCTGCACTCTCTCTCTCTCTCTCCCTCCATCCACTGGCCTCTCTCTCTCTCTCTCTCCTTCTCCCCTCCGTCACTGCCTCTCTCTCTCTCTCTCCTCTCTCCCCTCGGTCACTTGCTCTCTCTCTCTCTCTCTCTCCTTCTCCCTCCCCGTCACTGGCTCTCTCTCTCTCTCTCTCTCCTTCTCCCGTCCCCACTCCCCTCTCTCTCTCTCTCTCTCCTTCTCCCACCGTCACTGGCACTCTCTCTCTCTCTCTCTTTCTCTCCTTCTCTCCCTCCCCCCTCTCACTCTCTCTCTTTCTCTCCCTTCTCCCACCGTCACTCTCTCTCTCTCTATCTCTATCTCTTCTCCCCCGCCTCTCTCTCTCTCTCCTCTCTCTCTCTTTCTCTCTTCTTCACTCCCACCATCCTCCCTCTCTCTCTTTCTCTCCTTCTCCCACCGTCACTCTCTCTCTCTTTCTCTCCTTCTCCCACCGTCACTTGCTATCCTGTGTTCTGTCAGTTGACTTTGCTTGCCACTGGGTGTAATTAAATCTATAGGTGCTGAGGGTCCAATTCAAAGAGTCCTTCTATCACTAACGTGGGGCTCTTCTTAATAGAGACCAGTTGCCTCTGAACACTCTTGCAATATTATTTCAAAAGTGGTTCAAAACCAACCTCCTCTTCAGTCACATATATACAAAGCAATGAATACCCATCTACAAAAGCTGATGAAAAGTTCTCATCCAAACAACAAGCTTTTCCTCTCCCACAGAGTACTCAATATTGGACATAGTGTTTGTATAAAGGTATAAAAAAAAACTGGAATATGAAAAAAACTAAAATTCTTTGATAATGACTGATACATGAAAGTACTCGGACATAAGACTATCTCTCTCTCTCTCTCTATATATATATATATATATATATATATATATATATATATATATAGAGAGAGAGAGAGACATGTTTTTGTACGTATATCTAAATATGTACAGAAAACCAAGAAAATGATAGGAAATGTTAAAAAAAAAAAAAATTAGTAAAAAATTCTCATTAGTCTTCAATGAAATTTGTATAAATTAAAAATTACACCTCAAATAGTCCTTATATATATATATATATTTATATATATATATATATATATATATATATATATATATATATAACTAATAAACTTATAAATGTAAGCAGCTATACTTGTCCAGCAAAACCTTAAGTGTTTTAGCTTGTAAATGAATAAACCAATACCCAAGGGGAAAAAAAGTGTAAAAAAAAAGAACTAAGAACATGTACTTCCGCCGAAAATAATCGTCTAGAATCTAAGTTCAGAGTCCAAAGAAAAAAAACCTCCAACACGAGTAAAGTAAAAATAACTAAGCAAAGTGCTCAATATGCTAAGTAGAGAAAATTAAGTAAATAAACCTAAAGAGCCAGACTAACCTACCTAGGTTTCACCTACGCGGAACGTCAGGGTTAAACCTAGGTAGGTTAGTCTGGCTCTTTAGGTTTACTTACTTATATATATATATATATATATATACACACACACACACACACACACACATTTACATTTGAAGTGTAACTTAGTTTCATTACTTTTGATTGGTAGAACAACAAAACATTAAGTTGCACATGAATATATGTATATTTATTAATATATACTTCTTAGCTCTGTCTAACCACATTGAGCACTGTTTTGTTTACACTTTATATTAAATTGAGTAAATATTTATTCGCTTACCTGTGTTGCACACTAACAAACATATATAGAGTTGATAATATTTAGTTATTTGATTTATCCACATTAATACACACACACACATATATATAAAAAAAATGTGTCTATGCTTTTTTGTTTGTTTGTTTTTTTTTATCTTCCATATTCTGTTGTCTACTTTCAGCACATATAATTTTGCCACAGACGGCTTTCATGCAGCAGCCACAAATACCAATTTATGTATAGCAACTGGGGTCCGTGGAGGAGTCGACTGGATGAGGAAATTAGCATTTAGATATAGGCGAATAAAGGAGATCTATAATAGTTACAGAAATAATGTAGGAGGTAAGAATATATTTACATACAGCTTTTCATTTATATGATCTTTTTTTTTTTTATCAGCCAATAATTGGCAATGTATTAAATAAGGATGCAAAAATAATAGTGATTCATGTAAAATATATAAACCAAGCCAATTTAAGAAATATAAAAAGGATGATACTCAAGTATTGCAGCCTTTCTATGACTTAGTTTCATGTGGACTGCGAATCTGTTATATGGCTGACTCATAATCTTCAGGTAGTTCAAGCAACAAGATATTCAATTCTATATTTTTCTAAATATAGAATTGAGTATCTTGTCCCTTGAACTGCCTGAATATTGAGAGGCAGCCATATAACAAACTGGGGGTCCACATGAAACTTTAAGTCCCTGAAAGGCTGCAATTTTGAGTATCATTTGTTATATATATATTCAAACATATATTGTTAAATATAACAAACAATGAATGTCTATTATGTTGATCCTGAGCCGTTCTAAACTTGGTATGGTTGGTTTCATTTTGGTAGAAAATAAAGCCAAAAAGTGTCCAACATTTGGATATTTTTTTTCCCCCCATTATTATGCTCTTCCTTGATCTAAGCTTTCAGCTCATATGAGCCATCTTCAGAGTGGTTATATGGACATTTAAACAAAGATATTCACCATCAAAGATGATATTCTGTTGTGTTGAAATAAAAGATTGCTGTGCAATGATAATGGTCACGGAATAGCAGACACAGCTCGTAAATTCGTGTGTGTACACACACACACACACACACACACACACACACACACACACATATATATATATATATATATATATATATATATATAAAGTTTGTCACTTATCTGATTGGTTATGTTCAGCAGCATCTCAACTTTTTAAACTATCAATCATTAGTTTAAATGTCTTAAAAACGCTTTTCTTTCTCACATCCGGCAATTCTGCCTTGAGTGAAATTTCTTCACTTTTTAAAAAAAATATCTTTCTATTCCAGGTTTATTAGGTCCACAAAAACGGGAACAGTGGCTACAGTTAAGGCAAGAAATTGAAAACATGACAGATAGTTGGCTAACTATGGCTTTGAAGTCTCTCAATATCATCAACTCCAGGTAAGCAAAAAAAAAAAAAAAAAAAAATTTTATCAATTTTCTAAAACCGAAGAAGGAAGAGGAATGTATAAGTGTGCATTCAGTGTTTCGTTTCATTTTTTAAAAAAATTAAATGAATAATAGCTTAACAATCACACCACATCCACAGCATTACCTTTCTTCCAAGGAGTTCTGCTTTTGTAGTTCATTGAGAAAATTTATGCTTGTCAATCCAATGTCATGACTTCATGATATTTAAAGCGTAGTGCTAGATTGACAACTAGATCTCATCATTTTACCATTGAAATTGCTAAATGTAACCTAAAGTTCTATTCCGATAATTTCTTCCCTCACACTTCTCACCTGTGGAACTTGCTCCTTGCTTTTCCTTCACTACAATCTACACAAATTTAAATGTGACATCATTTTCTACCTCTTTGAATTCCGTCCTTTTTATTGTCCTTTCTTTCTCCTCAGTAACATTTCCTAAGTTTCCTTCACACTATGTGTCTTTCCTCATTTGTAACCCATTACATCTTAGTGACTTTATTGCCTTACTTGGAGTTAAATGATTACAAAAATATATGCATGATTAGTAGCTAGGATAATACATCCATTATGACCACTAGTTCCCTAAAATGGGCATTACTTATGACCCAATTTGATACTTTGATATTAGTATTGGTAAATAGTCACATAGAGTGTGTGTGCATTACAATATTAATAGATGTGTTTGTTTTTGTATCTCCAGATCCAATTGTGTAAATGTTCTTGTCACCACCACACAGCTGGTTCCTGCTTTGGCTAAGGTGCTGCTTTACGGACTGGGAGGAGTTTTCTCAATTGAAAACATTTACAGTGCAACAAAAATAGGTAACAATAATAATCTTGAAGTTAACTGACAAGGAATGATAATTGAAGAATTACTTGTCTGATCTTTGCTCAAAAAAATGATTGTTTTTCTTTTCGTTTTGTTTTTTTAAATCTTTTTTTTCTTTAAGTTGACTTTGATTTCATGTTCAGATGGTAGATTTTACTATTTGAAGTGAATATTTAGAGTAAAAAGTTTTTCTATATTGAACACTGAAAATATTTTACTTGGTTGCCTAAACTGTTGTTTTATATTGAATATTTAAATTGTTTATTTTAATTAGGTATTTAAGTTGTTTTTATTAATTGGATATTTTTTTTAAATTAATTGGGTATTTTTTTTTTTTAATTGGATATTTAAATTGTTTCTATTTGGTATTTACATCAGATGGTTGTGGGGTAATTTTATTATCAGTATAGTGAATTTTTGAGGAGTGGCTTTTATGTATTTAATTTTTAATTTGTATTTTTGGTTAGGTATTTTATTTGTTTGAATTGGCCATTTAACATAAGAACATGTTCATGATTGTATTTTATATTCATTTTATAACTTTAAATTTTTGTAAAATTCTTTAAATTTACATAAGATTTGTGCATTTAGTTAAGATTTTCCTCCTCTTTACTTTAGGTAAAGAGAGCTGTTTTGAAAGAATTGTATCCCGTTTTGGTCGGAAATGTACTTACGTCGTGGTTGGTGATGGCAGAGATGAAGAGGCTGCTGCAAAACAGGTAATTTATAGATTATGTATTACTAGAAAGACCTATGAAAATTTCATGGTTTTCCTATTTAAATTCTTTGATGAATCCTAATTCTTAACTCTTAAGTCATTGATTGAATAAGCTCATGGTGAGTTTTACAGCAATAGAATATCCTGCAAAAATAAATGCTTCCATCACTTTTAAACTTTTTATGTCCGTGCTTGAGTAGACACACTGTTTTTTATCTATTTAAACAGTATGAATTACACCTACCATCCTGCACATTCAAGAAACTTAATAAATAAAAAGGTGTTCTCCATCTTGTTTTACTAAGTCTCTCAAATATGTAGGCTGCTAGACATAATTCACTCTGTTTAAACAGATAAAAAAAACTGGGTGTTTACACAAACATGAATATCCACAAAAATAACATTTATGGCAATAAGAAGTAATGCCACATTATATATAAAATCCATTAATTTCTTAGATATTGAGTGGGTTCAGTTTCCATAGACGTTCTATGGATTTCGTCTCCTTAAGAAACTCTATGGGTTCCGTCTCCTTAAGAAACTCTATGGGTTCCGTCTCCTTAAGAAACTCTATGGGTTCCGTCTCCTTAAGAAACTCTATGGGTTCCGTCTCCTTAAGAAACTCTATGGGTTCATTTCCATAGACATTAAATGGATTCATTTTAGTTTTAGCAGATTTTCTGAGAAAAAAAAAAAAAAATTAACTCAATGTATATATCTAACACTTTATTATTTACTCAATGTAGTTTCAGATTTTATAATTGAAACCAAATCTAAATAAATACAAATTGGTGTTTAAAAGTGAAAAAGAATGCAACTTTGATTGATCATCAAATGTCAGTGGACAACTATAAACAATACAATCGGACCCAACCCAACATTTGGTTTCTACACAGAAATGACACACCCACCTTTTATTTCCTATCGTTGTAAGCTACTTTGTTTTTGTACTTTAAATACAAACGAAATGGCTAACGTGGTGTGACATTTGAAGGGACATCTAGCAGTAATGTTAAATTATATGAATTACATGCCAATGTACACGTCATCGGTTGCTCATGCAGAAAGAGAAGACAAAAAATTGAGAAAACATTTTGCAACATTCTTGCTTGTATTTATTTGTAGGCTTTATTTTATTTATAAACCTACTTGGCAAAAATACACACTTTTATATCGGAGAACCCGTAAGCGGGCTTAATATTTTTTTCTAATAACTATAATCATTATTATTATTATTATTATTATTATGTTATTGTTGCACATGGAAATTCTGTTCTCAAGGCATTGTGTCAAAAAGACTCCCACAGCTCAATAAGGCTTATGGCCACATCACGTTGAAATACCAGTTCCTGTACAATCACCAAAGTTAAGCAATGTTCAACCTGGTCAGCACTTAGATGGGTGACTGTAAACTCTGATGTGTGGGTGATGTAATAGATAATAACTCGGGATTGTTAATCAGAGAACCGAGTTCAATTCCTGTTGGGTTTATTATATTCACTTATGCGCAAATACCCTTGTGTAAAAGTAATGAATTCACCTCTTCTCTCCCAGCTATGGGTTAATCAGTAAAACTTGTATCATTAAACCATTATTAAATAAAAAAAATTCTTAACAATCTAAAAATATTTTCTGGCTTTAAATAACCTGCAAAGGGTTGATAAACCATAGAAAATGAATGAATCCATTACTCAATGGCTCAATAACATTTTGGAGAATAAAAGATGGCAGTTTTCTGAAGGGTGACAATCTTGGTCTCAATTTCAACTTTCCTTAAGCACTCTTTCATGTCTATAGCGGGTATTCCAAATGCCACCCGTTACTTCAACAAGCATAGCTTTTTCAATTCCTTAACCAAATCCTAGTATTTTTAAGTTTGTTTGGATTTCTCTTGTATTGTATTGAACATCAAAATCAATAATTTGGCAATTGCGAATTTCCTTATCTATCACAATAAGGTTGGGCTTTCATGCTTCAATGACATGATCTGTTGGGACACAAAGAATCCTATATTTCGTGTTTGTCATGAAAAGAAAATCATTGAAACCTCTCTCTATGAATCAGCAAAGTCATAAGAACTCATTGACTTAGAACAAATCAATGTTTTTTCATATTCAATATTAGCCTAACAATGGGTTTCCCTATCAGTCCTGTTTTAGCCTGTTGCTTTTTAGGATTTTTTGAATCCTTTACATTTCAATACATGCACACACAATACTTAAGTTCTCACCTTAATGATGAATATATTTTCATTCTTTATCAATGCACTTAATTCAGTTGTGAATATGTGTCATCGAGATCAAAAATCAGTTAAGATCTACAAAACAAAACAAGGATTTACTGATCCATCCTCTGTGTGTGTGTGTGTGTGTGTGGTACAGTCCAAAGGTTTGAGAATTTAAGCCATAAAATGTCTTCCTCAGCGAAAGGAAAAAATCATACAAAAAAGGATTTCCTTATATTTTGTGGTGGAGCAATTATTTTATTTATTTCTTCTCTTTGTGGATTGTACCCTCGAAAAAGTCTGTTAATTGGATTTGCCAAAATATTATAATTGCAAATATGAGTACAAAGAATTTCTTCGTAATAGTCTGAATAAGTCTTGAACTGATTTCTCTCAAAATTATAGATTGGTACTTTTCCTCATCCTTTTGTTCTAAGCATTTTTCCAACCCTAAGCCCAATTCTGACAAGAATTCAGATTTTTTCAGACAATGTTAGATCATTGTTTCAGGTAAAAATCAGTGACATCATCTTAAAAATGTTCACAATACACTTCTGATCCTATCGTCGTAGACCAGTGTGCCATGGCACACAGGTTGAAAATCATTGGTCTAAAATATGGGCAGTTGATTGAGAACAACCCCCCACTCCTTTTGGTTTAATAAAAGGTTCAGTTTAATGTTCCCAGAAAGTGACTAACTAAAAAGGTCTGAGGATACAACAGCTGAAACATTGTGATGACAACTGACATATCTATAGAATTTCTTCATGGCTAGTTTTGGCGTTGTTATTATTATTTTTGGAATTGGAAACTTCTCTCAGAATGACTTTTTTATCATTTATTTTTATATTTTTTTTATTTTTTTTTCATAAATTTCAATAAGTAAATAATATAGTACAGTACCTCAAGCAAGGCAATAAAGCCACTAAGACACAGAGAGTTATTGAGTTTGAGAGAATATAAGAAAAGGAAGAACATTAAGAAGCAAGAACAATAAAAGAACAGAAATTAAGAAAACAAAAGATAATGATTGACATTGCATTTAAATTTTTGGTGATCAAACTTTGACTAGAAAACAGGAAGCCAGAAGAGAGTTCTGAGTGAGAAGTACAAATAAACTTCTAGCATAAAACTTGCTTGATTTATTTTGGGGAGGAGAGAAAAAAATTCTTGCAAAAATAAAAACTTTGTATTTCAATATATTGGCTCCTAAATTAAAAAATAGGTTTTGTAAATTTCTCATTGTGTGTTTACAAGGCTTAGCAATGAAATAGTTTTCTTTATCCAGTAGATTTAAAATGTATCTGATCCTAGAGTTGATCCATAAATCTCTTGTTAGTTATACCTTAAAGAATCCCATTGTCTCTCTTTTTATTTTGATTTTTTCTTAATGCAGTGTTTCTTCAGGACATTGGTTATCATGGCTCTCTAAAGATTCCTTTTCTTAATGTCTGTGAACTGTCATGACTTCTTAGAAATGATAATAGTGGCTTCTCATTGGCATTTTGAGCTGTTTTCCTTCTAGACAAGTTGCCTTTACTGAAGCTAGTGAGTCCTATTTATTCTACTATTTAATCCATAAGTAGGTGGAGAAGAAGTAAATTCCTACCTTCCCCAAAGTGCATGAGTGCAAAAGTGAATGCAGCAGACTAAGTTGGAATTTGAACTCGGCTTTCTCATTTCTTTTTCCACGCCAATAACTGTTACACAACCAGCATATATTTGACTAGAACTTCTCTCTATCTCAATCTTAAATTTCAATAAGTAAATTATATAGTATTTCCTTGATTATCTGGACATTTCGGGACAGGGGTTGAAAAAAAAAAATTATGTTCAGATAATTGAATCCCTGAATTATTTGGTGGGGGGATGAAGAAAATGATTTTTCTGAAAGAAATTTAACCATCATGTCATCAAATAACATTTTCAAACACTTTGCTCCAGCTTATTTTTTATGAAAAGGTTCATCAGTTTTTGTGTTTCCGGGCTTTTCTACGACTAATTCCTGAAATAGATGTATTTGTAAGGTTAGCTTCCAGCTGAAAGCACAAACACTGAACAATTGTCAAGCATAATCATTGCTTCAGTATTTGAAATTATAGCCTGGTGACTGATAGATCCTGTAGGCCATAATCTCTGGCCTGACCAAGCTGTGATAATTCAAATGTATGCTCTTTGTATGAAGACAACAAAAAATTTTCTTTTATCTAATGTTGAATAAGGTTTTTGTAAATTCTCAAAACGCTTGTTCTGTTTAGTTTCGTAATTGAAAATCAATATCAATTTTTCTCTTAATTTCATATCCAGAAAATTGAAGTCTGGAAAATCAAGACACAAATAATTGTGGAAGTACTAGGCACAGTGTTGTAATGGATAGTGGCTCGGATTGAGGAATCAAAGAGCCGAGTTCAAATTCCAGTTGAATCCATTATATTCACTTACATGCTAATACCCTTGGGAAAGGTGTGAATCCTCTCCTTCTCTGCCCAGTTAAATAGCAGGAAAGACTGCGTTCAATAGCCTTGAATGGCAACTGGTCTACCGCAGAAAGAAATGGCAACCTACTGCAGGAAAAAGAAAATCTGCCTCGTCAGTCATGTATCTAAAGATACACGATCACCTAAGCATGGCACATAACTGATTGTTGATATTTATAAGAATTTTATGCTTCTAAGTGTAAAAATTTTGATCCTGACCATTGAAATATGACAAATATGAATTCTTTTATAATGATTTTTCTTTTCTTTTTTTCCCCTTTCTGCAGATGAACTGGCCATTCTGGAGAATCTCTAATCATTCCGATTTGGCTGCCTTACACCATGCACTGGAACTTAGTTACCTATAGACTGTTGAGCAGCCAGCCAGCCAACCAACCAGCTAACTCATCAACCAGCCAGTGGCCATTTTACACAGAAGAAAGACATAGACAAGCAGCCTCAGTATATGATGACTGATTATAACAGCAACAGTGACAATGATGACCTCCTCCTCCTCCTCTGCCGCCGCCTCTTCCTCCTCCTTCTTCTCCACCACCATCACCACTACCATAGTAGCAGCAGCAGCAAGCATTCTTTAATTGGATACTCACAATCACCTTCTTCCTCCTTTCCTTTTCTCCCTCTTTCCAGTGATCCATGTGTGATAATCGGATTATCTTGGGAATCTTGTCGATGCAACAAAAGTAGAAATTTGCAGAAAAATTATCAATTTGGAAACAAGGAAAAAAAAAAAACTATGTAAACAGATTCTTACAAATATCTTATTGAAAAACATTTTAATTTAAAAAAAAAAAAAAAGTTTTTTAAAAAATTATTTATTAATTCCCTCTCCCCTCCCAGACACTTCCAAATCAGGCCGTTCAGATTTTTCTTAATTTTCTCTAAAAATCAGTTTAACTTCTACACTTACTCCCACTAAATTCTTCAACAAGCCAGCTTCACATCAAACTGGCTGTCTGCTTCACAACAGACCCTGTGATCGACCATTTTATAGCAACAGAAAGATTTTAGCCAAGTTGACAAGTTGATCCGTTGCAGAAGTTCCCAGTGAACAACTGTTATTCAGTTGTTCTTCATTTTAGTAAAATTACAGCTGAAAAAAATGCCATTTTATTAAAAGTTTTTCACCCTGTACACACTAATGTTTTTATTAGTACCCTCAAATTTGCTTGTGACTTTATTTTCGTGCAAGCCAGTTCTACCATTTTGTAGACCTTTGCATCCATTGCAGAAAATCAGATATGACCAATTTTTTTTAATATTGGGTGACCAAGCAGCTTTGAGCTGTCATATTACAGAATGGTAAAGTCCTCAACTGCTCAGAAGCAGTTCCAGAAATTCTGTTTTTTGACTCTGCAGATCTCTGGATGACAATCAAAATATTTTCTCTCCATGTATGCACACAGACACACAATTCTATAACCAACACAAACAAATACTTGCCAATCACTATACTATTACAAGGGTTACAGAGGGAGAGAAATAACACACTAAAATGACCCCCACCTGTAAGCTGAAGACACAGGCGGTTAGGAATATTTCCCAACTTGAGCTGAACCCTGGACAAAGTGGATATGTGCCAATGACAAGCCTAGCTACCAGCTGAACCCCATTTGCCAGACCCACAGAATGACTGGAGAGGTGAAGATTCAAACCCACATCAACAACTACAAACTAATCCTGCACTTAACACAACATAAGCACCTGGATCCGTTTTTCATTTGTTTTCCTCTCTTTCTCTTTGTCACCTCCACCCTGACCCAAATTCCAGAATATAATTCTTAGATTCTAGAAAGGACAAAAATGACTGCTGCCATCACTTCCACAAATACTACTATTTCTATTACTACTACTACCTTCATTATCACCATCACCATCATTATCAACAACAACAACATAACCATGATTTGCAACAATGTTGCAGTTAAGATCTTATTCATTGTCATACTCGGTGTGATAATATTTCAAAGTTTAAATAATTAAAAAAAAAAAAAAAAAAAATTAACACCTATTTTTCCCCACTCCCAACTCCTTCCAAAAAGAAAAGGAATGAACTTAAAGCTACCTAAAGTCATCCCAATGAATAGAATGTCACACTATAATGACCATCGACCTTCTTCTATTCTTCAACTGTGAAGAATTTTATTAATGCCAACCATGAAAAATAGAAATGAAGATCATCTATTTTATTCCCTGAGCCTATTCCTCCACCTCTCACACCCTCCTATCTCCCCACATACTTTACAAAGTTGTTTATTCTGTTTAATTATGTGTGTTTCCCAAAAAAAAGAACAAAAAAAGATTAAAAAAAAAAAATAAGTGGATTGATTCAAACCTAGTAAAAAAGAAACAAAAAAAAACTTATTCAAAACCCAGAGAATGATAATAATTATTATGATGATAATAATAATAATAATAATAATAATAACGGTATTATTATGACTGACTTAAACTATGATGTGATGATTGCTGACAATTGGGCTGGCCAATGATTATTGACACCCACCCACTCCCTAGCAGTTTGTTTCATTATTATTTTTTTTTTTTACTTCTTCCTCTCCTCCCCCCATCCCTACTCCTCATCTGATGTGTTCCATTGTCACAGAGGACATTTGTTTGCGGACAGACTTGAACCCTGTACCAAAATGGACAAAAACCAGTGAACTGTGCAAATTTTTTTTTTTTTTGTGACACTGTCATCTGCCCATGGCCAGTTGATTCTTTCTTATTTCACTCCTTCAAAGAAAAAAAAGAAAGAAAAGGAAAAAAAAAAAACAAAAGAAGAGACTGAAAAGAAAAAAGTATATTGAAAGAATAACGAAATGAAAAAGAAATTGAAGTAACAACCCTCCCCACTCCCGCAATCCCCCACCCCTGAATTTGAAGAGTGTTTGCTCGATGTATTGACTGGTTTCTTTTTGATTTGTAGATTTTGGGTGCTGTTCAAACTACAGACAAGGAGTGCCATTAACTGGACTCTGTATACAACTTCCTTTCTGGTATTAAAAAGTTGCTCTGTCAAAAGCCTAGAGTATATGTCTCTTTTTGCTTGTTCTTTTGTTGCCTCACTGTTTTAAGCAGGTTCCAACTTAAATAGATATGTTGCCAGATGGACCTACAGACTAAGAGGGATGGTAATCTTTCTATCAGAATATTTTTCTTTTTTTTGTAAAGCTTCGATAAAAAGCTGTTGCAAAATTTCTGTCTAAATTTCTGGTTTGAGGACTTTATTATTTTCAGTCAAACTAATGTCCTTATCTTTTTTTTTTTTATCATCACATTTCGGATGCTATGCCCACTGACCTTCTTCAGGTGTCTCTCTGGGTAATAAATATTGTACGTCTGAGATTTATTTTTTTTAGCATTATTTGAAACTACTTCTGTTAATATCAGTGACGATCTGTTATTAACACAACTCTTTGCTATCTATCACATTCAATAGTTTGACTTTTACAAAAAGTAATTTTAGAATATATTTTAAGTTTCTATTCATGCCATAAAACATAATGGCATATATCATTATGTTGTTTCACTGAAAAAAAAACCGAATTATTAGTGCAATCCCAAATGCTTCAGCTTTAAGCCACAAAGAGTTGAGAAGCCATTTAAAAAAACAATTTAACAATTTGTTAGTAATATTAGATTTTCAAAAGTGTTTTATTTATATATATATATATATATATATATATAAATATGTTATATTTTTTTTAATATGTTATTTTTATAGATACAAATATTTAAGTAAATGCTCTGTTTATAATAAACAGTATTAACTACATTTACCGGCCTTAATGTCCAAGAAATTTCATAAAAAATATGTGTCCTCCAAGAGGAACCGAACCTGCATCCTATACAGAACTGTCGTATAACTTGATATGCTATACCATTTGGCTACAGAGGAAGCATCTGGTTAACAAAGTCAAATTACTGTTTTCAAACAACAAATTTCCCAACTATTATTTGTATCTACAAAAATAATGTATAAACAGAAAATATATTAAAATAATTGTCAGATTTGGTACATTTGATGATATAGAGGTAGAGATCACCCTCTCTTCCTTACCCTGTATATTAATTTGTTCAGCCCTTTAAGGGAAAATTTTCTAGTTGACCTATTGACTAATATTTAATTCTTTCTTTCCTCTCTCTCTCTCCCTCTCCTCTCTCTCTTTCTTCCCTAAGTTTTTAAAAATTTTATAATGAATTTTTATTTTTCTTACTTCCTCCTTTATTATATTTAATTCTTCCTTCTTTTCTTCTCTCCCTTCCCTCCCCTTCTCCCTTCCCTCCCCTTCTCCCTCCCCTTCTCCCTCCCCCTTCTCTATCTCCCCCCATTCCTCTCTCTTCCCTAATTTTTTTTTTTTTTTTTAAATTTCATATTGAATTTTTTATTTTCTTACTTCCTCCTTATAAAATTATTTTTTCCTCTCTCTTTCTTCCTTTTCTCTGGACAAATCGATTTAATTTCTTAAAAAAAAAAAAAACTCAGTCTGAGATGAATATTTAAATATATTCATGAAATAAATTATAACCAAAATGGATTTCTAAGGATTGTCTTTATATTATATATATATATATATATATATATATATATATATATCCTGTTGGAGGCAGAATTTTTCTTTATAGGACATCTCAATTTAGTTTGGTTGTTATTAATATCATTGTTTAATAAAATCAAAAATACTGGTAACAACTCAAACACATATACCCACTAAAAATAATAATGTTCATCGTAATAAAAACATATAATGCCTGGCGGACTCTCTCCCGCCATTTTTTTTTGACATACGAGGGTCCAGCATCTGAGATTTTAAAACCAATCAGACTAGACGACCCACACACGTACGATTTGATTATTTGTGGTGAAGGTTTGTGCAGAACCTACCACACTTTTTGGAAGAGTCAAATACAGAGAACTAGTGTACAGCATACCACAAAGACCCTCCTCCAGTTTTGAGTTGAGAGTTTTTCCTTCTTGAACACTTACCACCTAAGGCTACAGTAGCCAGTTTGCCCTGCTATTTACCCATAAATAAGAAGAGATTAATTCATGACATTCCCAAGTGTATTAACACGTAAGTGAATGTAATGAACTAGACTTGAATTAGAACTCAGCTCTCCAATTCCTCAATCCAAGCTGCTATCCATTTTATATATATATATATAATCTTAAAAAAAATCTTGTAAAAAAAAAAAAAAAAAAAAAGAAAAAAAGAGTAATACCCAAGGTTTGAAATGCATTTTAAAAACAGAAAATCTTTCTTGAAGCTTTTATTTTAGTTTAAATTTCAAGGTAATAGATTAAATTTAATATTTCCAATAAGCAAAATGTTTTACTCTGTTT